GCCCTTACAGAAAGCTGGCTGCAACCTGAGCTGCACACTTTGATACAAGTGCCGAGAAGCACAGCTGCCTTCCTGCACCCATCTCTCAGCCTTCAGGGCGTCCCCACAGGCTTCAGCAGAGGAAGGAATTCCAGGATGAGTCCGTCGTTTCCTCTCCCTACCAGCAGCCGTCCTGCCCCTAATGTTCACTTTTTCAGTGCTGGAATGGCAGCACTGAAGGACTGGATGCAAAATGATGGATCTGTCACAAGGAAAGTGGCAGTAGGAGTTTGCAGAACATGTCCTGACGTGAGGTCTGTAGCGCATGCTGCAGTGACAGAGACCTGGAGAAGATCCAGAGCAGATTCACTCTCTTAGTCAGAGAAGGGGAAACAGCTCTGGAAAGAACATGCGGTGGTAGGGGTGCTGTTTGTGGAGACAAACAACATGCAGGGCTGGTGCAGGTGGCTGAGGAGGCCCATGGAGTTGTCCCAAGCATGAGGAAGTCAGGAGTTCACCATGACCTACTGCATCTGTGCTACAAAAGCAGGCAGCACATTCTAGGAAGGGCTGATGAAAGATGCTTCTTGGACAGCCCTGGGGGTCTGAGGAGAGCAGACTGACCTGGGGAAGGGCACAGCTGAACAACCCTGCTTTCTATGTGTGTGCTTAGCAAGATTGATGGGTAAGATTAAATGGAATGTAGCAGATAGATAGATAGATAGATAGATAGATAGATAGATATGTGCACACAAAGCAGTTGCTGAATTGCATATTTTAGGTCCTCTCTACAGTGAAAGAATTGAGGCAGATGGAGGGGACACATTTTGAAAATTCCCTTGCAAATACTTGGGCCAAAGATCTTGGCATCAAGTGGACTTATCTCATATTCCCTTGCATGCACCAGCTGCTGGTTAAAAAAAAAGGTACAGTGGGTTGTTGAAAAGTATGTTGAAGGCAATGGGGGGAGGAACATTAAAGCAGTGGGAGAAGCATTTGGTAGAAGCCACCTGCTTGGCCAGTGCTCAAGGACCTATGAGCCTAGACCGTTGTAGTGGAAATGCTGATACCACAAGGTATCTTACTGTGAAGACTGTATGGGAACTGCTGAATCACAGCCTGAACCTCTGATTGATCACCTGAGGCGAGCGCTGATCAGCCCTGGGAGCACAAGTGAAGGCAATTTGCTGTGCTGCTGGAAGGGATGGAGCCTGGCTGCACCTCTCCTAGACCCCATTGAAGAGCTGACTGCCAGTGGGGAAGGATCTCTTTTGGAGATACCTCCTACTGGAGCTTTCCAGTGAGCCCAGCACAAGGGTAAGCCTTTTATCTGTTCTTTTTGGTGTCATAACGTGTTTAGTAAAACTCTCTTGCATATTTCTTAATTATAACACCTGTATAATCATTGATTATTCTGATTATCATTGAAGACTAAAGAGATTAAATGAGAATTTAAGTCACAGAAAAGCTGCTCCATCACAACAGTTGTTTATTGGAAGAGTCACAGAACAACTAAGACATATAACTTCAGAATTAATGTAAATCCTTATCATATAAAAGGTGTGCAGGTGGTGGTTTTAGAGGGACCTTTCCTAGTGTGAACTTCTTGGCTTCAAACAGCTTCAGCTCTTTGGCTGTTAATTCACTCCTCGGTGTGTATAACTGGCCTGGTTTGATGCCGTGTGAGGATGCACATTTAAGTACTCACCAAATGTAAGGGAAAAACAGGGATTTCTGGGAGAAAAAGCCACATTTAAGGGGAAAAACAGGGATTTCTGGGAGAGAAAAACATGTTTAAGGGGAAAAACCTTAGATTTAAGGGGAAAACAGGGACATCTAGCAGAAAAAGCCATATTTAAGGGGAAAAACCCCCAGATTTAAGGGGAAAACAGGGACATCTAGCAGAAAAAGCCATATTTAAGGGGAAAAACTCCAGATTTTAGGGGGAAGAAAGGGATTTCTAGCTGAAAAAGCCATATTTAAGGGGGAAAAAAACCCAGATTTTAGGAGAGAAACAGGGATTTCTGGTAGAAAACACCCGATTTAATGGAAAAACAGGAATATCTGAGAGAAAAAGCCATATTTAAGTTGAAAACAGGGATTTCTGCGAGAAAACACTGGATTTAAGGGGAAAAACAGGGATTTCGGGGTCCTGATGGACGAGAGACTGAACATGAGGCAGCAGTGCGCTCTGGCAGCTCGAAAGGCAAATGGGATCCTGGGCTCCATCAGGAGAGGGGTGGTCAGCAGGGACAGGGAGGTGATCGTCCCTCTCTACTCGGCTCTTGTGAGGCCCCATCTGGAGTACTGTGTCCAGGTGTGGAGCCCTCAGTACAAGAAAGACATTGAGATCTTGGAAAGGGTCCAGAGGAGGGCGACTAAGATGATCAGGGGGCTGGAGCACCTCCCCCATGAGGACAGGCTGAGGGAGTTGGGCTTGTTCAGCCTGGAGAAGAGAAGGCTGCGGGGTGACCTCATTGCAGCCTATCAATACCTGAAGGGAACCTACAGCCAGGAGGGGAGTAAACTCTTCAGAAGGGCTGACAACAGCAGGACTAGGGGAAATGGATCCAAGTTGAGGGAGGGAAGATTTAGGTTGGATGTTAGGGGGAAGTTCTTCACAAGGAGAGCAATCAGGCCCTGGAACGGGCTGCCCAGGGAGGTTGTGGATGCCCCGTCCTTGGACGTGTTCAAGGCCAGGTTGGACGGGGTCCTGGGCAACCTGATCTGAATGTGTGTTTGGTGGCCCTGCTGGGCAGGGGGGTTGGAACTACATGATCCTTGAGGTCCCTTCCAACCCGGATGATTCTGTGATTTCTAGCAGAAAAAAAACGTATTTAAGGGGAAATACCCCAGATTTAAGAGGAAAAAGAGGAATTTCTGGCAAAAAAAGCCATATTTAACGGGAGAAACCCCAGATTGAAGGGGAAAAAGAGGGATTTCTAGCAGAAAAAGCCATATTTAAGGGGAAAACCCCATATTTCAGAGGAAAAACACAGATTTAAGGGGAAAAACAGCGATTTCTAGGAGAAAAAGCCATATTTAAGGGGAAAAAAACCCAGATTTTAGGAGAGAAACAGGGATTTCTGGTAGAAAACCCCCGATTTAATGGAAAAACAGGAATGTCTAGCAGAAAAAGCCATGTTTCAGAGGAAAACTGCAGATTTAACGGGAAAAACAGGGATTTCTAGCAGAAAAATCCACACGTAAGGAGAAATACCCCAGATTTAATAGGAAAAAAAGGAATTTCTGGCAGAAAAAGTCATATTTAAGGGGAAAAAAACCCAGATTGAAGGGGAAAAACAGGGATTTATGGCAGAAAAAGCTGTATTTAACAGGAATAACAGGGATATCTAACAGAAAAAGACATATTTAAGGGAAAAAAAAACCCAGATTTAAGGGGAAAGAAACAGGGATTTCTGTTAGCACATGCCGCCGGCGGCACCCGAGGGGAATCCGGCAGCCGCCCCCCCAGCTGCCCCTCCCCCTCCTCCAGGCCCCGGGCCGCCCTCAGCAACGGGACGCCGCAGGCGGTTGGTAGGGCCGGGGCAGGAAGTGCTTCGTGCCGGCGGAGAGCACTTCCGGGGCAGCGCGGCATGGCGGCGCCGGGCCGGTGAGCGGGGCCGGGAGGAGCGGGCTGTGTGCTGGGAACGGGGTCGGGGCTCGGTGCGGGGGCATGGAGGGGCGCTCGGGGGAGGAGCCGGCGGTGCTGCCGGCACGCGGAGGCGATGCGTGCGGCGCCGGCGAGTGGTGCGGGGTCGGGGGGCGGCTTCCTCTCAGGGAAGGCCGTGCGAGAGCGGAGCTGTGTTGGTGTTTGGGGCGTGCGAAGGAGGAGGCCCCGTAGGGCCGAGTTGTCAGCAGCAAAGGCCGGGCGGGCGGGCAGTGGAGCAAGGCGCGTGGGCGCTGTGTTGGCCGGAGGGTGCGGAGCTGGCAGAAGGTCTGTGAAGATGTGCTTCCTGTGGACGTCCGTTGTCGGGACGAGCCGGGGCTGCAGTTGTGTGTGATTGTGTTTGTTGCTTGGGAGAAGTGCTGCCTTAGGAGAGCGGGGGGGAGGGAGAGGGAGATTTTCGGACTGCCATCAGTCAGGAGCACGGCACGTTTCTGCCTGCTTTGCTCATGCTGTTGTGTGGGTCCCCGCGAGGCATCGGTGAGCCAGGGTGGCGCCGTGTGTGTGTGTGTGCCGGCATTGTGCGCGGATGTGGAATGGAGTGAGAGTGATTGTAATGAAAATGCAGCTGGCCGTATTGATGGTAGGGAATGGTTGAATCCCCAGCCGTGAGGCGCAAGAAGAGGCGCTGGGTGCTAAGGTGGAAAGCGGAGCTGGTGTGTGCCAGGAGGCAGGCGTGGTGAGGTGCGCTGTGGAGCCTGCTGTTGTTGGCGCTGGGCTCGGGAGGCCCCTGAACATGGCGCTGTGTGCTGCGTGTGCCAGCCGCAAGAGATTCCCGTGTGGAAGAAGGGAGAGGATGAAGGAGGCCGAGGGCCCTTTTCTCGGGGCCGGCTCCTCTGTGGCCTCTTGCTTGCCGGAGAGAAGGGCTGCCCGCTGGGCACGGGGAGTGCCTTCTAGCTGCCGTCCCGTGCCCTGTCCTCCAGCCCCTTCCTCATGCTCTGTGGAACGCCATTGCCAGCAGTGCGGCTGCCGTTTTAGAACCTTCGCCGCATCACAGCCGTCACCTTGGTCACCGCTGCCCCGGCCAACGCACTCGCCTCTGTGAGCTCTGTCAGCCATGGCTGGAGTGAAGAGGGCGAGGGGCACAATTTGCCCTGTTTTAAATGGGAAGAGGGAGCTTGGCTTCCCAGAGGCGAAGAGGAGGAGGGGGGCCGCCTTGAAGATCAAGCGGAGGAGGGGGCAGCGATTCCGTTTCCATCGCGCCTGGGCCAGCGCTGCGACCACCTCCGTGGAGCCCATGGAGGTGGATCCACCTCTGGATGAGCCCATGGAGGTGGATCCACCTCCGGATGAGCCCATGGAGGTGGATCCGCCTGCGGCTCAGCTGGCCTGGCACCACACCACCGTGCCAGGCCCCGCATCGGCGCCGTCCCTCCACGGCCGCTGGTCCAGGCGCTCGGCTCCCTACCCGCTGCGCGGCCCCCGCCCCCAGCATTAGCTGGGTGGCATGAGTTTCCATCAGCTCCTCCTCCGAGCCTCCTGGGGAGCCAAGATCTCCTCTTCCCATTTAAATGCTGCAGGAGTTATGGTTTAGTTGTTGTTGTTGTTGTTGATTTTAGTGTTTAGTATTAGTGTTAGGAGTAGATTATTGTTCGTATTTTAGAGTTAGGCATAGGTTACTTGTAGTCTTTTAGTGTTAGGCATAGGTTCCTGTTCTTATGTTAGAGTTAGGCATAGGTTACTTGTAGTCTTTTAGTGTTAGGCATAGGTTCCTGTTCATACTTGACAGTTAGGGGTCGATTGCTGGTGTCAGGTGGCAGTGAGCAGCGCTCACTCGGTAAGCACACGCCTGATTGCTGGTGCGAAGACATGAGTGCGAGTGCCGTGAGCACGGAGGCGCGATGGCATCTTGGATGGCTTGAATTTCCAGCTTGTGACTTTTGTGTTGCAGACCGTCGAGGAGCAGAGTGTGAGTGGCTGCGCCATTGCGTTGGGCCTCAGGAGAACAGTGTGTGACTGTGTGTGGAGCGTCCTGCGTGGCCGTTGCCAGGTAGGTGTGCCTTCCTTTGCAGTAAGCAGTGCTTAGGCGTGAGCCCAGCTGCTCCCCCTGTGCTCAGCAGGTGGGCTTTCTGCGTGCTTTGTTGCTGTGCTTGGTGCCGTACGGCACAGCAGCAGCAAGGCCGTGAACACGTACGTGCCCAGGTAGATGCAGATGTGCAGCTGATGGTAGGAATACTGTTGTTGGTGGTGTTCATGAGACAGTGGTCGTGCGTGTGCGATCAAGCTCAGGGAGAAGTTGATTCTTGCCTGCTCAGCTCTTGCTGACATGCAAGTTTGGCGTCCCTCCTTGTGGTTGGGTCGGAAGACCAAGGCTGTCTTGAGAGCACGTCTGTGAGTCAGGCTGGGAGTTTTTGCTGGCAGGAAGTCGCAGCGTCGGAGCGCACGAATGGAATGATGGCTCTCGTTTCCCCCTTGTAGAAAGCAGCCTCCTGGAGAGCAGCAGAGCAGCAGGCTGTCTGCGCTATGGCCGCTGAAGTGCATTTCTCGGCCCCGGAGATCCCTGAGCCCACGCTGATGGAGAACGTGCTGCGCTGCGGCCTCTTCTTTGGAGCCGTTTTGCAGCTTGTGTGCGTGTGGGCCATAACCCTGCCAGTTGCCAAGTGCCCAGAGACAGTAAGTAGCGCTCTGTTTGGTAGAGGTTGATAGAAATGCTGAGGAAATGGGCTGGGAGGGAAGCAGCTGGAGCCGTTGCCTACGGTAGCGCGCCGCGGCATTGCTGAGAGTGCGGCAGTGTGTTGTGCCCTTCCTTGGGCGTGCGTGCTGTTCCTGGTGGCACGCAAGGAGCCTGGAGGTGCAAGCTCACCTGCTGCTGCTGCTGCTGTGCTGTGCGTGCTGCCAGGCAGTGTCCAAGCCGTGTGCAGGCGCTGCCTTGCAGGAGATGGCTTTGGGTTCCAGTTCGTGTGGGACTTTGGGGAGGGAGATAGAGGTGGAGTTTCTGGCGTGCCCTGATGGCAGGAAGGCGGTTTCCAGTGCTGGCAGCCACAGCTGCCCGGGCGGTGACTTGAGCTCCCCAGGCGAGCCGTCAGCCACTTGTTAGCTGTGCAGGTTCCCTGACCGTTTGTGCCTTGATTCTTGTAGGACTGGCACAGTCTTGGGACTCGGTCTGGCGAGCCAGTGAAGAAAGCCAAGGCAAGTGCTGCTCTGCTGAGGAAGAAAGCCCAGAAGGAGAGCAGAAAGAACCGAGCAGGGCTTGAGCGAGAAGGCCCACAGGACACTGGGATCAGCTGCAATGCTTCCTCGGAGGTGGCACCAAAGGCAGCGCACTGAGTCAGCGTCCGGTTTTGTGGCACGGCCGTGCTTTCCCTGTGACGGACAGTGCAGCGGAGCTGAGGCACCTGGAAGGGAAGGGCTTGTGCTGCATTCCAAGCAAGGAGGGCTTGCCAGAGGCAGGTCTTCATCTATGGCAAGAGATGGAGAGGCTGTGTTCCTTCAGGCTGCGTCTCTTCAGGGCCAGGGCCGGTCTAGTGTGAGATTGAAGTACGGCTAGCCGGGCCTGGAGGGAGAGGAGCTGACGTAGCCACGGGGTCAGGCTTCTCCTTGTGTCTGCCTGGAGGCTGATTGACTCCTTGCTAAGCAGAAACCCTGGGCGCTGGGGTTTCATTTTGGGCTGTGTTGATAGAAATACAAGCCAGAGCCTTTTGTACTGAATAAAAGCGAAACCGACTTTTTCCACACGGTGCTGCCTCTTTCTGTAGCTGGTCAAAAGGTGCCGTGCTTGGGCTGGCGATCGCGGGGCCATGAACCGGTCGGCTCTGCCCTGAAATTCTGCTGGTTTTCCCCCGTTTCCTTGTGGGTCTTCCCAACGGGTGGCCTTTCAGCCCCCCTGTAGCTGCTGGCCACAGGCTGTGAGCCTGCCCTTGCTCTCCAAGGACCGCTAGCAAAAGCACGAAGGAGGGGAAGCGGCCCGGGAGGAAGACAGGCGTCCCTGCACTCGGCCCCTGGAGCTTGCCTCTCTTCCTGGTGGCTTTCTCAGCCCTGGGCTGTGCTGAGGGTTGCTGTTTGCCCCGGGAAGCCCAGCTGCACGCGGGCAGCCGTGGCCTGCGCGTCAGCCTGGCGTTGGGGCACGAGGAGTGGAGGTGTGGGTGGGATGGTGTGAAGAGCAGCGCTGGGAGCGGGGAGGAGGAGAGGGCAGCGGGTGGGCGGCAGGGGAATGTGCCTCGGAGCAGAGCTCAGCCTCGAGCTTGGAGGACACTGAGCCGTGCTGCGCTGCTGCAGCTCCAGTGGCTTCAGGCGCGTTACGGCAGCGCCGCGTGTTGTGCCAGGGCGCTGCGAGGGCGCTGTGCTGAGCCATGAGGGGCGACTGCTTTGCCCAGTGTTTTCCTGTCGCTCCTTGGAGTTTCTGCCTTTGAATTCCTGCACGATGATGTGCTGTTTCAACTGCTCCTCGTACCTCTGCATCATCTGCAGACTGTGCTGCCGGGGCCCTGATGGAGGGGTGGGACGTTGCTGGTGCTGGGTAGAGGCCAAGGCACCTTTCTATGAACTGGCTTCTAGCTGAGCTTTTTGCCAGTTCTCGCAGCCCTCTCTGTCTGGCCCTTGGGGCAGTTTTGTGCCCACCTCGTAGCCCTCTTTTTTAGCTGGTATGTCATCAACTTGCCTATGAGGCTGTGGTGAGAGAGAGTGAGGAAAGCCTTCTTGAGGTGGAGAGAAACAGAATTCACGGGTGTTTTCTCTCCCACCAAACTTCCCCGCCCCTCCCCCCCGTGGGAAGCTGTCACATTGGTACCCCGTGGTTTCCCCTTTGCTCTCTGTCACCCTTTTTCTTAATGAGTCCAGGGACGACTTGAGGGGAATGGAGCCTGAAGTCTGGAGGATAGGCAATGTCACTGCGGTCTTCAAAAAGAGCAAGAAGGAAGAGCCAGGCAATTATAGGCCAGCCCGCCTCACCTCTGTCCCTGGAAAGGTGATGGAACAGCTGTGCTGGATGTCCTCTCCAGACAACTGGAAGAAGAGCAGGAGATCAGGAGCAGTCAGCACGGGTTCACCAGGGGGAGGTCGTGCTTGACCAACCTGGTGGCCTTCTATGATGTTGTCTCTGGCTGGGTGGACGGGGGCAGAGCAGTGGATGTAGTCTACCTTGATTTCAGCAAGGCATCCTTATAACAAAGCTGAGCAAGTGTGGGACAGATGAGTGGACAGTGAGGTGGGTTGAGAACTGGCTGACTGGCAGAGCACAGAGGGTCACTGTTGGTGGTGCAGAGGCCGGTTGGAGGCCTGTAAGCAGCGCTGTTCCTCAGGGGTCGGTGCTGGGTCCGCTCTTGTTCAACATCTTCATCAGTGACCTTGATGAGGGGATAATGGCCACCCTCAGCAAGTTTGTGATGATACGAAGTTGGGAGGATTGGCTGACAGCCTGAAGGCTGTGCTGCCATTCAGCAAGACCTGGACAGGCTGAGAGCTGGGCAGAGAAAAACCGGATGAGGTTTAACAAAAGCAAGTGTAGAGTCTTGCATCTGGGGAGGAATAATTGCATGCAGCACTACAGGTTGGGGGATGAGCTGCTGGAGGGGAGCTCTGCGGAGAGGGACCTGGGTGTCCTGGTGGACGACAGGTCGGCCATGAGCCAGCAGTGTGCCCTTGTGGCCAAGAGGGCCAATGGCATCCTGGGGTGCATTGCACAGAGCGTGGCCAGCAGGTCGAGGGAGGTGATCCTCCCCCTCTGCTCTGCTCTGCTGAGGCCTCATCTGGAGCACTGCATCCAGTTCTGGGCTCCCCAGGACAAAAAAGACAGGGATCTCTTGGAAAGAGTCCAGCGGAGGGCCACCAAGATGGTGAAGGGCCTGGAGCATCTCTGCTATGAGGAAAGGCTGAGAGAACTGGGTCTGTTCAGCCTGGAGAAAAGAAGACTGAGAGGGGACCTGATCCAGGTCTATCAGTATCTGAGGTGTGGGGGGCTGAATGGCGAGGATGGACCCTTTTCAGTGGTGAGTGGAGACAGGACAAGGGGAAACGGCCGGAAACTGCAGCATAGGAAGTTCTGCACCAATGTGCGAAGGAACTTCTGTGCAGTGAGGTGAGGAGCACTGGAACAGGCTGCCAGGGAGGTGGGGGAGTCTCCTGCTCTGGAGATGTTCAAGACCTGCCTGGATGCCGACCTGTGCGACCTGCTGTAGGGAACTGCTTTGGCAGGGGGTTGGACTCGATGAGCTCTGGAGGTCCCTTCCAACCCCTACAATTCTGTGATTCCTGTGGAGGAGTGAAGCAGGGGCAGCAGAGCCTGCTGTGCACATAGGCATTAAGATACCTCCCATGCCTTGGCTCTTCTGCCCCCACATTGCTTGCAGCACCATTTAGCAATTCCCCCCCTACTAATATTTATAGAAGTTAGCTCAAAAAATCCAGATTGTTTTTGTATATTGTTTTTAATTAAAAGACAACCCTGCAGCCAGTGCTGTGAATCTTTCTCACTGGACTGTGAGCTGCTCCTGGCAGTGAATTCTCTCTCTGCACCATTGGTTGTGTAGCAGTTACTGTTTGCCTCGGTTTCCCTCTGGGGTCTCATTGGAAACACCCTCACACCGTTCCTCTTTGCTTTTGTGCATGGAACACCTGTAATTTACCCTCCTTTGCATGAACTTTATTTCAACCTTTGGGCTGTAATACCCCTGGCAACGAAAACACAACTTGCATTTTCAAGTGACGCTGCTGTGTTTTGTGCCAATTTCCAGATCAGGGCTCCTTTGGTCTCTGAGGTAGGACAGGGTGAAGGGGAGCGGCGTGAAGCTGTGTGCATTCCCTGCTGTGGGGGGTTGGTTTGCTTTTTCTTGGCAGGGTGGGCAGGAGCTCGGGGTTAGAGGAGCATCCAGATGGCATCTGTGGGATCAGCAGCTCTGCCACAGGAGGAGGTGAGGCTGCCCGCCGAGCTGCAGGAGAGGAAGGGGAGGAGGTCCCGGCCCAGCTCTAGACGGTGCTCTGCAGCACTGGGCAGCTGCATCCTGGCTCAGCAGTGGGATCACACGAGGAGCAGGGAGGGCGCTGCCAAACACAGCTGGGGCGTCTCTGTGCAGTTTTGCCTTCCTGGGAGGAACCCAGAGCGTCCCGGTTTGTTTCTGCTCCTGTAGCATTTGTACGCAGCGTGAGCATAAGTTCTGCTGCCTTATTCTTCTTCTGGCCTTTGCTATCTTCAGGGGGGCTGTAAGAAGGAAGGGGAAAGAGTCAGAGAGTTTAGATTGGACGTAGGGCAGAAGTCAGTTACAATAAGGGTGGCACTGGAGCAGGGACACTGAGGGACCCTGGGGATCCCTGGAGCCCTGAGCACTGTGTGTCAGGGCCTGGGGATGGATGGGATGGAGGGCGCCATCCCTGCCCCGTACCAGGGGACCATTGCCACCCGCAGAGCTTCCCTCATGCTTTGGACAGCTGTGCAGAGGAGGAGGGTCTCGAGGTGTCCTAGGCATGTGATCAGCTCTGACATCCTCCAGTGATCAATGAAGCCCTCAGCAGAGCCACGCTGTGTGTGTCTGCGTCCCCATGCTCAGCAGGGGCTGTTCGTGTCTGCTCCTGCCTGGCAGAGGCCACCTCTAAGTGCTGGGAGGGGTCCCCAGCTCCATACCCCGCACCCCACGTGCTGCACCCATGGGCCTCTCCATCCCCTCTGTGCTGCCTGCTCCAAAAAGGACAGAGCTCCCCGTGCTGCCAAGCAGCCCCAGTACCCTCCCTCTGCTCTCTCCCACTTCCTCCTTCCAGTTCCTCCCAAACCCTTCACCCTTTCTTCCACCTTCTCTATGGCCTCCTTTTACCCCCTCTCTTATCGCAGCCAATTGCCCCTCACTTGGATCTGCTTCAGCCCTTCAGTCCCACCTCCCCTCCATCACTACCTACCCAACAAGGAATCCCCAGATCCCTCCCTCGGGCTCCTCAGATCTCCTCTCTGATGACCGATGACACCCTCTGCTGATTAGCAAAGCCCTCTGACCTCAGTGAAGATCTCTGATGATCAGTGGAGCCCTCTGACAGCCAACGAAGCCTTCAGACGACCGCTGACACTCCCTGATGGCAAACTGAGCCCCCGATGATCAGCGGGCTGCTGTATCACATGCAGGAAAGGGAAGTGAAGGGTGAGAAAGAATATTTTGACACCATTTGGTAGACAGCGTGGTTTGCTCGTCATAGAATAAAGATTGGTTTGGATTTAATCAAGCACCGAAGTTGCAGAGAAGTGTGACTGCACCAGCCCTGTGTGTGCTGCCCGCTGCCTGGCACCGGCTGCCTGATTCCAAGCCCTCCTCCAAAGGCTCGGCTGCTCCTCAGCGATGCCCACCTGCTCCTCGTGGAGCTGCTGCTGGCCGGGCACTCGGACTGCGCTTGGCTGGGCTGCACTGCAAAGACACTGGGTCCCAATCCAGGCCGGGGACTGCGATGGCTGCTGGGCTCAGGTCAGCATCTTCAGCAGAGCCAGGAGAAATGAGGGCCGGAGGGTGGATCAGCTCCTTATCCCCATCACTGCTGTCCTGTGCAAGGCAGCCATCAGACCTGCAGCGATTCGTGCTTCTGAGAGCTCGGCACTGAAGGAAGCTCTCAGTGCACCACCACTGGGCCTGGGTCGAAACCACTGAGATTCACCTAGGAATGAGCAGAGACACGGGGTGAGTGTCAAGTGTGCAAGCAGGCCACGCCACTGGGCTGATGACCAGCAGCTCGGTAGCACTTGCAGTCCTGTACCCCCAACCACGTCCTTGCCCCAGATCGGGGGGTGGACAGTCCATTCCTGGGCGGCCCACTGTGCAATGCAAAGAGGGAGCCCCCGGCACACAGCCCAACCACCTGTGCAGACGTTCAGGATGCCACCACTGGCTGCCTTGCTCATAACCATCCACACGGCTCGCAGTTCTGCCCGTTGCCTGCTCTGACCATCCCCTCATTGAACCGCATCGTCTCGCTGGAAGGATGCTACGCTGCTGCTCTCCACTTGCTCTTGCAAGTGCCCTTGCTGGACCCATCTGTGCACCAGGCATCTTCAGGGATCGCATATTTTCCCTCCTGAACGGGACTCTGCTCTGGGGGAGCGACCAGTGCTTCTTTTGTGCATCACTCCCTGAAGCTCTGGAGACAAAAGTCAGCTGAAAGACTAGAACAACACAGAGCAGGAGGGGGAAGTGCGAGTGCTCGCCCAGAGACAGAAAAAAGGTTGATTCAAGTATTACAGGATGACAACATGCATTGCAAATTCCCCAGTGAAGTGAAAATCTGCAGTCAGTGCAGGAAGCCTGAGGTTTCAGCATTCACAACAGAAGCCAGCTAACAGAAGCACTGTGGGAGCTGTACCTGCCTGTGCCCCTTCTCCCACGAAGCCCAACAGCAAACATTTGTGCTCAGCTGCTACTTTAAAACACCACAGTCCCTGTTCCAACAGCCCTCCTGCTGCCTCTTCCATCAGAGCTGTGCCTGCAGAGCCCAGACAAGGCCGGGCTGCTCTGCCTTATCCAGAATAACAAAACCGGGCAACGGCAGGAAGAGAAGAAGTTTGCACCTGCAGCACCCTGCCCGTTTATCTCTTCTGGAGGTCCCTTCCAACCCCTACAGTTCTGTGAAAACCCCAGATTTAAGGGGAAAAACAGGGATATCTAGCAGAAAAAGCCATATTTGAGGGGAAAAACCCTGTTTTTAAGGGGAAAAACAGGGATTTCTAGCAGAAAAAACCACATGTAAGGGGAAATACCCCAGATTTAATAGGAAAAACAGGAATTTCTGGCAGAAAAAGCCATGTTTAAGGGGAAAAAACCCAGATTGAAGGGGAAAAATAGGGATTTCTGGGAGAAAAAGGGGTTTAAGGGGCAAAAACCCCAGATTTCAGGAGAGAAACAGGGATTTCTGGTAGATATCCCCCGATTTAATGGAAAAACAGGGATTTCTGGGAGAAAAAGCCATATTTCAGAGGAAAAACCCCAGATTTAATGAGAAGAACAGGGATTTCTAGCAGAAAAAACCACATGTAAGGGGAAAACCCCCATATTTTAGGGGGAAGAAAGGGATTTCTAGCTGAAAAAAGCCATATTTAAGGGAAAAAAAAAACACATTTTAGGAGAGAAACAGGGATTTCTGTTAGAAAACCCCCAATTTAATGGAAAAACAGGAATATCTGGGAGAAAAAGCCATATTTAAATTGAAAAGAGGGGTTTCTCCGAGAAAACACTGGATTTAAGGGGAAAAACAGGGATATCTGGGAGAAAAAGCTATATTTAAGGGGAAAACCACGGATTTAAGAAGAAAAACAGGAATTTCTGGCAGAAAAAGCCGTATTTAAGGGGAAAAACCCCAGATTTAATAGGAAAAACAGGAATTTCTGGCAGAAAAAGCCATGTTTAAGGGGAAAAAACGCAGATTGAAGGGGAAAAATAGGGATTTCTGGGAGAAAAAGCCATATTTAAGGGGAAAAAATCCCAGATTTTAGGAGAGAAACAGGGATTTCTGGTAGAAAACCCCCGATTTAATGGAAAAACAGGGATTTCTAGCAGAAAAAGCCATGTTTCAGAGGAAAAACCCCAGATTTAATGGGAAAAATAGGGATTTCAAGGAGAAAAAGCCATATTTAATGAGAAAAATTCCAGATTTAATGGAAAATCAGGGATTTCTAGGAAAAAAAAAGCCATTTTTAAGGGGAAACCCCCAGATATAAGAGGAATAACAGGGATTTCTGGGAGAAAAACCCAGATTTACTGGAAAAACAGGGATATCTAGCAGAAAAAGCCATATTTAAGGGGCAAAAACTTGGATTTAATGGGAAAACAGGGATTTGTAGCAGAAAAAGCCATATTTACGGGGAAAACGGAGTCAAATCCAGCTGGCGACCGGTCGTGAGTGGTGTTCCCCAGGGGTCGGTGCTGGGCCTGTCCTCTTCAATATCTTGATTGATGACCTCGATGAGGGCATCGAGTGCACCCTCAGTACATTCGCAGATGACACCAAATGGGCTGGAAGTGTGGATCTGCCTGGGGGTAGCGAGGCCCTACAGAGGGATCTGGGCAGGCTGGAGAGCTGGGCTGAAGCCAATAGGATGAGTTTCAACAAGGCCAAATGCCGGGTCCTGCGCTTCGGCCACAACAACCCCAGGCGACGCTGCAGGCTTGGGGCGGTGTGGCTGGAGGACGGCGTAGAGGAAATGGACCTGGGGGTATTGATTGATGCTCGGCTGAACATGAGCCCACAGTGTGCCCAGGTGGCCAGGAAGGCCAATGGCATCCTGGCTTGCATCAGAAACAGCGTTGCAAGCAGGAGCAGAGAGGTGATTGTTCCCCTGTATTCAGCACTGGTGAGGCCGCACCTCGAGTGCTGTGTCCAGTTTTGGGCCCCTCACTGCAAGAAAGATATTGAGGCCCTGGAACGTGTTCAAAGGAGGGCGACAAAGCTGGTGAGGGGTCTGGAACACAGGGCTGATGAGGAGAGGCTGAAGGAGCTGGGAATGTTCAGCCTGGAGAAGAGGAGGCTCAGGGGAGACCTCATTGCTTTCTATAACTTCCTGAAGGGAGGCTGTAGTGAGCTGGGGGTCGGCCTCTGCTCTCGTGTCATCAGTGATAGCAGCAGGGGGAATGGCTTCAGGCTACGGCAGGGGAGATTCAGGCTGGACATGAGGAAGTGTTACTGCTCAGAAAGGGTGGTCAGGCACTGGAACGGATGCACAGGGAGGTGGTGGAGTCACCGAGCCTGGGGGTGTTCAAGGAAAGGCTGCATGTTGTGTTCAGGGACGTGGTTTAGTGGGAGCTGTTGGGAATGGGTGAACGGTTGGACTGGGTGAACTTGTAGGTCTTTTCCAACCTTGGTGATTCTATGATTCTATGAAAACACCAGATTTAACAGGAAAAACAGGGATTTCTGGGAGAAAAAGCCATGTTTACGGGGAAAAAAACCCAGATTGAAGGGGAAAAACAGGGATTATGGCAGAAAAAGCTGTATTTAACAGGAATAACAGGGATTTCTGGCAGAAAAATCCATATTTAAGGGGAAAAACCCAGATTTAAGGGGAAAGAAACAGGGATTTCTGTTAGAACATGGCGCCGGCGGCACCCGAGGGGAATCCGGCAGCGGCCCCCCCGGCTGCCCCTCCCCCTCCTCCAGGCCCCGGGCCGCCCTCAGCAACGGGACGCCGCAGGCGGTTGGTAGGGCCGGGGCAGGAAGTGCTTCGTGCCGGCGGAGAGCACTTCCGGGGCAGCGCGGCATGGCGGCGCCGGGCCGGTGAGCGGGGCCGGGAGGAGCGGGCTGTGTGCTGGGAACGGGGTCGGGGCTCGGTGCGGGGGCATGGAGGGGCGCTCGGGGGAGGAGCCGGCGGTGCTGCCGGCACGCGGAGGCGATGCGTGCGGCGCCGGCGAGTGGTGCGGGGTCGGGGGGCGGCTTCCTCTCAGGGAAGGCCGTGCGAGAGCGGAGCTGTGTTGGTGTTTGGGGCGTGTGAAGGAGGAGGCCCCGTAGGGCCGAGTTGTCGGCAGCAAAGGCCGGGCGGGCGGGCAGTGGAGCAAGGCGCGTGGGCGCTGTGTTGGCCGGAGGGTGCGGAGCTGGCAGAAGGTCTGTGAAGATGTGCTTCCTGTGGACGTCCGTTGTCGGGACGAGCCGGGGCTGCAGTTGTGTGTGACTGTGTTTGTTGCTCGGGAGAAGTGCTGCCTTAGGAGAGCGGGGGGGAGGGAGAGGGAGATTTTCGGACTGCCATCAGTCAGGAGCACGGCACGTTTCTGCCTGCTTTGCTCGTGCTGTTGTGTGGGTCCCCGCGAGGCATCGGTGAGCCAGGGTGGCGCCGTGTGTGTGTGCCGGCATTGTGCGCGGCTGTGGAATGGAGTGAGAGTGATTGTAATGAAAATGCAGCTGGCCGTATTGATGGTAGGGAATGGTTGAATTCCCAGCCGTGAGGCGCAAGAAGAGGCGCTGGGTGCTAAGGTGGAAAGCGGAGCTGGTGTGTGCCAGGAGGCAGGCGTGGTGAGGTGCGCTGTGGAGCCTGCTGTTGTTGGCGCTGGGCTCGGGAGGCCCCTGAACATGGCGCTGTGTGCTGCGTGTGCCAGCCCCAAGAGATTCCGGTGTGGAAGAAGGGAGAGGATGAAGGAGGCCGAGGGCCCTTTTCTCGGGGCCGGCTCCTCTGTGGCCTCTTGCTTGCCGGAGAGAAGGGCTGCCCGCTGGGCACGGGGAGTGCCTTCTAGCTGCCGTCCCGTGCCCTGTCCTCCAGCCCCCTCCTCATGCTCTGTGGAACGCCATTGCCAGCAGTGCGGCTGCCATTTTAGAACCTTCGCCGCATCACAGCCGTCACCTTGGTCACCGCTGCCCCGGCCAACGCACTCGCCTCTGTGAGCTCTGTCAGCCATGGCTGGAGTGAAGAGGGCGAGGGGCACAATTTGCCCTGTTTTAAATGGGAAGAGGGAGCTTGGCTTCCCAGAAGCGAAGAGGAGGAGGGGGGCCGCCTTGAAGATCAAGCGGAGGAGGGGGCAGCGATTCCGTTTCCATCGCGCCTGGGCCAGCGCTGCGACCACCTCCGTGGAGCCCATGGAGGTGGATCCACCTCTGGATGAGCCCATGGAGGTGGATCCACCTCCGGATGAGCCCATGGAGGTGGATCCGCCTGCGGCACAGCTGGCCTGGCACCACACCACCGTGCCAGGCCCCGCATCGGCGCCGTCCCTCCACGGCCGCTGGTCCAGGCGCTCGGCTCCCTACCCGCTGCGCGGCCCCCGCCCCCAGCATTAGCTGGGTGGCATGAGTTTCCATCAGCTCCTCCTCCGAGCCTCCTGGGGAGCCAAGATCTCCTCTTCCCATTTAAATGCTGCAGGAGTTATGGTTTAGTTGTTGTTGTTGTTGTTATTGTTGATTTTAGTGTTAGTGTTAGGAGTAGATTATTGTTCGTATTTTAGAGTTAGGCATAGGTTACGTGTAGTCTTTTAGTGTTAGGCATAGGTTCCTGTTCTTATGTTAGAGTTAGGCATAGGTTACTTGTAGTCTTTTAGTGTTAGGCATAGGTTCCTGTTCATACTTGACAGTTAGGGGTCGATTGCTGGTGTCAGGTGGCAGTGAGCAGCGCTCACTCGGTAAGCACACGCCTGATTGATGGTGCGAAGACATGAGTGCGAGTGCCGTGAGCACGGAGGCGCGATGGCATCTTGGATGGGTTGAATTTCCAGCTTGTGACTTTTGTGTTGCAGACCGTCGAGGAGCAGAGTGTGAGTGGCTGCGCCATTGCGTTGGGCCTCAGGAGAACAGTGTGTGACTGTGTGTGGAGCGTCCTGCGTGGCCGTTGCCAGGTAGGTGTGCCTTCCTTTGCAGTAAGCAGTGCTTAGGCGTGAGCCCAGCTGCTCCCCCTGTGCTCAGCAGGTGGGCTTTCTGCGTGCTTTGTTGCTGTGCTTGGTGCCGTACGGCACAGCAGCAGCAAGGCCGTGAACATGTACGTGCCCAGGTAGATGCAGATGTGCAGCTGATGGTAGGAATACTGTTGTTGGTGGTGTTCATGAGACAGTGGTCGTGCGTGTGCGATCAAGCTCAGGGAGAAGTTGATTCTTGCCTGCTCAGCTCTTGCTGACATGCAAGTTTGGCGTCCCTCCTTGTGGTCGGGTCGGAAGACCAAGGCTATCTTGAGAGCACGTCTGTGAGTCAGGCTGGGAGTTTTTGCTAGCAGGAAGTCGCACCGTCGGGGCGCACGAATGGAATGATGGCTCTCGTTTCCCCCTTGCAGAAAGCAGCCTCCTGGAGAGCAGCAGAGCAGCAGGCTGTCTGCGCTATGGCCGCTGAAGTGCATTTCTCGGCCCCGGAGATCCCTGAGCCCACGCTGATGGAGAACGTGCTGCGCTGCGGCCTCTTCTTTGGAGCCGTTTTGCAGCTTGTGTGCGTGTGGGCCATAACCCTGCCAGTTGCCAAGTGCCCAGAGACAGTAAGTAGCGCTCTGTTTGGTAGAGGTTGATAGAAATGCTGAGGAAATGGGCTGGGAGGGAAGCAGCTGGAGCCGTTGCCTACGGTAGCGCGCCGCGGCATTGCTGAGAGTGCGGCAGTGTGTTGTGCCCTTCCTTGGGCGTGCGTGCTGTTCCTGGTGGCACGCAAGGAGCCTGGAGGTGCAAGCTCACCTGCTGCTGCTGCTGTGCTGTGCGTGCTGCCAGGCAGTGTCCAAGCCGTGTGCAGGCGCTGCCTTGCAGGAGATGGCTTTGGGTTCCAGTTCGTGTGGGACTTTGGGGAGGGAGATAGAGGTGGAGTTTCTGGCATGCCCTGATGGCAGGAAGGTGGTTTCCAGTGCTGGCAGCCACAGCTGCCCGGGCGGTGACTTGAGCTCCCCACGCGAGCTGTCAGCCACTTGTTAGCTGTGCAGGTTCCCTGACCGTTTGTGCCTTGATTCTTGTAGGACTGGCACAGTCTTGGGACTCGGTCTGGCGAGCCAGTGAAGAAAGCCAAGGCAAGTGCTGCTCTGCTGAGGAAGAAAGCCCAGAAGGAGAGCAGAAAGAACCGAGCAGGGCTTGAGCGAGAAGGCCCACAGGACACTGGGATCAGCTGCAATGCTTCCTCGGAGGTGGCACCAAAGGCAGCGCACTGAGTCAGCGTCCGGTTTTGTGGCACGGCCGTGCTTTCCCTGTGACGGACAGTGCAGCGGAGCTGAGGCACCTGGAAGGGAAGGGCTTGTGCTGCATTCCAAGCAAGGAGGGCTTGCCAGAGGCAGGTCTTCATCTATGGCAAGAGATGGAGAGGCTGTGTTCCTTCAGGCTGCGTCTCTTCAGGGCCAGGGCCGGTCTAGTGTGAGATTGAAGTACGGCTAGCCGGGCCTGGAGGGAGAGGAGCTGACGTAGCCACAGGGTCAGGCTTCTGCTTGTGTCTGCCTGGAGGCTGATTGACTCCTTGCTAAGCAGAAACCCTGGGCGCTGGGGTTTCATTTTGGGCTGTGTTGATAGAAATACAAGCCAGAGCCTTTTGTACTGAATAAAAGCGAAACCAACTTTTTCCACACGGTGCTGCCTCTTTCTGTAGCTGGTCAAAAGGTGCCGTGCTTGGGCTGGCAGTCGCGGGGCCATGAACCGCTCGGCTCTGCCCTGAAATTCTGCTGGTTTTCCCCCGTTTCCTTGTGGGTCTTCCCAACGGGTGGCCTTTCAGCCCCCCTGTAGCTGCTGGCCACAGGCTGTGAGCCTGCCCTTGCTCTCCAAGGACCGCTAGCAAAAGCACGAAGGAGGGGAAGCGTCCCGGGAGGGAGACAGGCGTCCCTGCACTCGGCCCCTGGAGCTTGCCTCTCTTCCTGGTGGCTTTCTCAGCCCTGGGCTGTGCTGAGGGTTGCTGTTTGCCCCGGGAAGCCCAGCTGCACGCGGGCAGCCGTGGCCTGCGCGTCAGCCTGGCGTTGGGGCACGAGGAGTGGAGGTGTGGGTGGGATGGTATGAAGAGCAGCGCTGGGAGCGGGGAGGAGGAGAGGGCAGCGGGTGGGCGGCAGGGGAATGTGCCTCGGAGCAGAGCTCAGCCTCGAGCTTGGAGGACACTGAGCCGTGCTGCGCTGCTGCAGCTCCAGTGGCTTCAGGCGCGTTACGGCAGCGCCGCGTGTTGTGCCAGGGCGCTGCGAGGGCGCTGTGCTGAGCCATGAGGGGCCACTGCTTTGCCCAGTGTTTTCCTGTCGCTCCTTGGAGTTTCTGCCTTTGAATTCCTGCACGATGATGTGCTGTTTCAACTGCTCCTCGTACCTCTGCATCATCTGCAGACTGTGCTGCCGGGGCCCTGATGGATGGAGGGGTGGGACGTTGCTGGTGCTGGGTAGAGGCCAAGGCACCTTTCTATGAACTGGCTTCTAGCTGAGCTTTTTGCCAGTTCTCGCAGCCCTCTCTGTCTGGCCCTTGGGGCAGTTTTGTGCCCACCTCGTAGCCCTCTTTTTTAGCTGGTATGTCAGTCAGCACAGGTTCACCAGGGGGAGGTCGTGCTTGACCAACCTGGTGGCCTTCTATGATGTTGTCTCTGGCTGGGTGGACGGGGGCAGAGCAGTGCATGTAGTCTACCTTGATTTCAGCAAGGCATCCTTATAACAAAGCTGAGCAAGTGTGGGACAGATGAGTGGACAGTGAGGTGGGTTGAGAACTGGCTGACTGGCAGAGCACAGAGGGTCACTGTTGGTGGTGCAGAGGCCGGTTGGAGGCCTGTAAGCAGCCCTGTTCCTCAGGGGTCGGTGCTGGGTCCGCTCTTGTTCAACATCTTCATCAATGACCTTGATGAGGGGATAATGGCCACCCTCAGCAAGTTTGTGATGATACGAAGTTGGGAGGATTGGCTGACAGCCTGAAGGCTGTGCTGCCATTCAGCAAGACCTGGTCAGGCTGAGAGCTGGGCAGAAAAAAATCAGATGAGGTTTAACAAAAGCACGTGTAGAGTCTTGCATCTGGGGAGGAATAATTGCATGCAGCACTACAGGTTGGGGGATGAGCTGCTGGAGGGGAGCTCTGCGGAGAGGGACCTGGGTGTCCTGGTGGACGACAGGTTGGCCATGAGCCAGCAGTGTGCCCTTGTGGCCAAGAGGGCCAATGGCATCCTGGGGTGCATTGCACAGAGCGTGGCCAGCAGGTCGAGGGAGGTGATCCTCCTCCTCTGCTCTGCCCTGGTGAGGCCTCATCTGGAGCACTGCGTCCAGTTCTGGGCTCCCCAGGACAAAAAAGACAGGGATCTCTTGGAAACAGTCCAGTGGAGGGCCACCAAGATGGTGAAGGGCCTGGAGCATCTCTGCTATGAGGAAAGGCTGAGAGAACTGGGTCTGTTCAGCCTGGAGAAAAGAAGACTGAGAGGGGACCTGATCCAGGTCTATCAGTATCTGAGGTGTGGGGGGCTGAATGGCGAGGATGGACCCTTTTCAGTGGTGAGTGGAGACAGGACAAGGGGAAACGGCCGGAAACTGCAGCATAGGAAGTTCTGCACCAATGTGCGAAGGAACTTCTGTGCAGTGAGGTGAGGAGCACTGGAACAGGCTGCAGGGAGGTGGGGGAGTCTCCTGCTCTGGAGATGTCCAAGACCTGCCTGGATGCCGACCTGTGCGACCTGCTGTAGGGAACTGCTTTGGCAGGGGGTTGGACTCGATGAGCTCTGGAGGTCCCTTCCAACCCCTGCAATTCTGTGAAAACCCCAGAGTTAAGGGGAAAAACAGGGATATCTAGCAGAAAAAGCCATATTTGAGGGGAAAAAAACAGTTTTTAAGGGGAGAAACAGAGATATCTGGCAGAAAAAGCCATATTTAAGTTGAAAACAGGCATTTCTGCGAGAAAACACTGGATTTAAGGGGAAGAACAGGGATATCTGGGAGAAAAAGCTATATTTAAGGGGAAAACCACACATTTAAGAGGAAAAACAGGGATTTCTGGGAGAAAAAGCCGTATTGAAGGGGAAAAACCCCATATTAAAGGAGAAAAACCCCAGATTTGAGGGGAAAAACAGGGATATCTGGCAGAAAAAGCCATATTTAGGGTGAAAAATCTTAGATTTAAGGGGAAAACAGGGATTTCTAGCTGAAAAAACCATATTTAAGGGGAAAACAAACCCAGATTTTAGGAGAGAAACAGGGATTTCTGGTAGAAAACCCCCGATTTAATGGAAAAGCAGGGATTTCTAGCAGTAAAAGCCATATTTGAGGGGCAAACCCCCAGATTTAATCGAAAAACAGGGATTTCTAGCAGAAAATACCATATTTCTAACAGAAAAAGCCACATGTAAGGGTTAATAACCCAGATTTAATAGGAAAAACAGGAATTTCAGGCAGAAAAAGTCGTATTTAAGGGGAAAAAAAACCAGATTGAAGGGTAAAAACCGGGATTTCTGGGAGTAAAAAGCCATATTTCGGGTAAAAACCCCAGATTGAAGGGGAGTTCAAGTGCGGGTGGGTTGGTGTGAAGAGCAGCGCTGGGAGTGGGGCAGGAGGAGAGGGCAGCGGGAGGGCTGCAGGTGAGCGCCTGGGGCCCAGAGCTCAGGCGTGAGCTGGGAGGGCGGCGAGCCGTGCTGCTTCAGCTGCTTCAGCTGCAATGGCTTCGAGCGCGTCATGGGCAGCGGCGCGTGTGGAGCGTCTGGGTGCTGCGAGGGCACCTTGTTGAGCCGGAGACTGAGAGAGGAGAGGAGGGGAGGGGAGGGGAGGGGAGGGGAGGGGAGGGGAGGGGAGGGGAGGGGAGGGGAGAAGACAGGAGAGGAGAGGAGAGGAGAGGAGAGGAGAGGAGAGGCTGCACGTCAAGAGTGTCTGCCTGCCATTTTGGCTTGGCGCATCGGTGTCTTCCTCCTTCCACGAAGGAGCCTGCACGGTGCACTGGGTGCAGCGTGCTACATGGCACTGCCTTCTGCTGCCTGCCTGCCTGCCTGCCCGCCTGCCTGCTGCACTGCTGGAGAGGAAAGAGCGGATTGTGGGGCTGCGTGCAGGCAAGGAGCTGGCTGCAAAGGAGGGAAACGGAGTATTGAGGAGCGGTTAGTGCGTGTGAGGTTTGCGTGTGGATGCAGCGGGGGCTGAGTCGCCTCCATCAGCTCCTGGGGGCTGGGGCCGAGCCCGGTGCGTGTGGCTGCGCTGCGGGCAGGAGGGCTGCGGGGCTGGGGCAGTGGTGTGGGTGCAGCACATGGGGCCGTGAGAGGGCGTGCAGCAGGGAGGGCGTTGGGCCCGAGCCGCGCTCGTGTTTGTCGCAGCACAGGGGCTGCAGGGGATGCCAGGAGTGCAGAGCAGAGCGGGGAGAGCCGGGCTGTACGAAGGCCAGGGCATGAAATCTTCCCTTGGCAGCTACGTAGCTGCTGGGCTTTTCCCCCAAGTCTTCAGACTGCGGGGTGATAAGGCTCCGCAGCAAAGCCAGCCGGGCCCTCCTGATACTTGGGGGTTAGGAAAGGGCAAAACAAATCAGTGTCTTTCAAGAGCACAAAGCAGTGAAGCACAGCACAAGCCGTTCATTGCCTGCGTAGGTGATCTTCTCCAGGCATGTCCATTGGAGATGTGCAGACTGAGCGTGGACAGAAAGCAAATGGAAGGGAGGGGAGGGGAAGAAAGTAAGAAATGAAAGGAAAGAAAAAGGGAAATGTGAAGGGGAAGAAAGAAAGAGAAAAGGAAAGGAAGAGAAAAGAGAAGCAAGGCAAAGGAAAGCAAAAGGGGGAAAAGGCATAAAAGGAGAAGAAGCCAAGTTGCATGGCGCCGGCGGCACCCGAGGGGAATCCGGCAGCGGCCCCCCCGGCTGCCCCTCCCCCTCCTCCAGGCCCCGGGCTGCCCTCAGCAACGGGACGCCGCAGGCGGTTGGTAGGGCCGGGGCAGGAAGTGCTTCGTGCCGGCGGAGAGCACTTCCGGGGCAGCGCGGCATGGCGGCGCCGGGCCGGTGAGCGGGGCCGGGAGGAGCGGGCTGTGTGCTGGGAACGGGGTCGGGGCTCGGTGCGGGGGCATGGAGGGGCGCTCGGGGGAGGAGCCGGCGGTGCTGCCGGCACGCGGAGGCGATGCGTGCGGCGCCGGCGAGTGGTGCGGGGTCGGGGGGCGGCTTCCTCTCAGGGAAGGCCGTGCGAGAGCGGAGCTGTGTTGGTGTTTGGGGCGTGCGAAGGAGGAGGCCCCGTAGGGCCGAGTTGTCGGCAGCAAAGGCCGGGCGGGCGGGCAGTGGAGCAAGGCGCGTGGGCGCTGTGTTGGCCGGAGGGTGCGGAGCTGGCAGAAGGTCTGTGAAGATGTGCTTCCTGTGGACGTCCGTTGTCGGGACGAGCCGGGGCTGCAGTTGTGTGTGACTGTGTTTGTTGCTTGGGAGAAGTGCTGCCTTAGGAGAGCGGGGGGGAGGGAGAGGGAGATTTTCGGACTGCCATCAGTCAGGAGCACGGCACGTTTCTGCCTGCTTTGCTCGTGCTGTTGTGTGGGTCCCCGCGAGGCATCGGTGAGCCAGGGTGGCGCCGTGTGTGTGTGCCGGCATTGTGCGCGGCTGTGGAATGGAGTGAGAGTGATTGTAATGAAAATGCAGCTGGCCGTATTGATGGTAGGGAATGGTTGAATCCCCAGCCGTGAGGCGCAAGAAGAGGCGCTGGGTGCTAAGGTGGAAAGCGGAGCTGGTGTGTGCCAGGAGGCAGGCGTGGTGAGGTGCGCTGTGGAGCCTGCTGTTGTTGGCGCTGGGCTCGGGAGGCCCCTGAACATGGCGCTGTGTGCTGCGTGTGCCAGCCCCAAGAGATTCCCGTGTGGAAGAAGGGAGAGGATGAAGGAGGCCGAGGGCCCTTTTCTCGGGGCCGGCTCCTCTGTGGCCTCTTGCTTGCCGGAGAGAAGGGCTGCCCGCTGGGCACGGGGAGTGCCTTCTAGCTGCCGTCCCGTGCCCTGTCCTCCAGCCCCCTCCTCATGCTCTGTGGAACGCCATTGCCAGCAGTGCGGCTGCCATTTTAGAACCTTCGCCGCATCACAGCCGTCACCTTGGTCACCGCTGCCCCGGCCAACGCACTCGCCTCTGTGAGCTCTGTCAGCCATGGCTGGAGTGAAGAGGGCGAGGGGCACAATTTGCCCTGTTTTAAATGGGAAGAGGGAGCTTGGCTTCCCAGAGGCGAAGAGGAGGAGGGGGGCCGCCTTGAAGATCAAGCGGAGGAGGGGGCAGCGATTCCGTTTCCATCGCGCCTGGGCCAGCGCTGCGACCACCTCCGTGGAGCCCATGGAGGTGGATCCACCTCTGGATGAGCCCATGGAGGTGGATCCACCTCCGGATGAGCCCATGGAGGTGGATCCGCCTGCGGCACAGCTGGCCTGGCACCACACCACCGTGCCAGGCCCCGCATCGGCGCCGTCCCTCCACGGCCGCTGGTCCAGGCGCTCGGCTCCCTACCCGCTGCGCGGCCCCCGCCCCCAGCATTAGCTGGGTGGCATGAGTTTCCATCAGCTCCTCCTCCGAGCCTCCTGGGGAGCCAAGATCTCCTCTTCCCATTTAAATGCTGCAGGAGTTATGGTTTAGTTGTTGTTGTTGTTGTTGTTGTTGATTTTAGTGTTAGTGTTAGGAGTAGATTATTGTTCGTATTTTAGAGTTAGGCATAGGTTACGTGTAGTCTTTTAGTGTTAGGCATAGGTTCCTGTTCTTATGTTAGAGTTAGGCATAGGTTACTTGTAGTCTTTTAGTGTTAGGCATAGGTTCCTGTTCATACTTGACAGTTAGGGGTCGATTGCTGGTGTCAGGTGGCAGTGAGCAGCGCTCACTCGGTAAGCACACGCCTGATTGCTGGTGCGAAGACATGAGTGCGAGTGCCGTGAGCACGGAGGCGCGATGGCATCTTGGATGGGTTGAATTTCCAGCTTGTGACTTTTGTGTTGCAGACCGTCGAGGAGCAGAGTGTGAGTGGCTGCGCCATTGCGTTGGGCCTCAGGAGAACAGTGTGTGACTGTGTGTGGAGCGTCCTGCGTGGCCGTTGCCAGGTAGGTGTGCCTTCCTTTGCAGTAAGCAGTGCTTAGGCGTGAGCCCAGCTGCTCCCCCTGTGCTCAGCAGGTGGGCTTTCTGCGTGCTTTGTTGCTGTGCTTGGTGCCGTACGGCACAGCAGCAGCAAGGCCGTGAACATGTACGTGCCCAGGTAGATGCAGATGTGCAGCTGATGGTAGGAATACTGTTGTTGGTGGTGTTCATGAGACAGTGGTCGTGCGTGTGCGATCAAGCTCAGGGAGAAGTTGATTCTTGCCTGCTCAGCTCTTGCTGACATGCAAGTTTGGCGTCCCTCCTTGTGGTCGGGTCGGAAGACCAAGGCTATCTTGAGAGCACGTCTGTGAGTCAGGCTGGGAGTTTTTGCTAGCAGGAAGTCGCACTGTCGGAGCGCACGAATGGAATGATGGCTCTCGTTTCCCCCTTGCAGAAAGCAGCCTCCTGGAGAGCAGCAGAGCAGCAGGCTGTCTGCGCTATGGCCGCTGAAGTGCATTTCTCGGCCCCGGAGATCCCTGAGCCCACGCTGATGGAGAACGTGCTGCGCTGCGGCCTCTTCTTTGGAGCCGTTTTGCAGCTTGTGTGCGTGTGGGCCATAACCCTGCCAGTTGCCAAGTGCCCAGAGACAGTAAGTAGCGCTCTGTTTGGTAGAGGTTGATAGAAATGCTGAGGAAATGGGCTGGGAGGGAAGCAGCTGGAGCCGTTGCCTACGGTAGCGCGCCGCGGCATTGCTGAGAGTGCGGCAGTGTGTTGTGCCCTTCCTTGGGCGTGCGTGCTGTTCCTGGTGGCACGCAAGGAGCCTGGAGGTGCAAGCTCACCTGCTGCTGCTGCTGTGCTGTGCGTGCTGCCAGGCAGTGTCCAAGCCGTGTGCAGGCGCTGCCTTGCAGGAGATGGCTTTGGGTTCCAGTTCGTGTGGGACTTTGGGGAGGGAGATAGAGGTGGAGTTTCTGGCGTGCCCTGATGGCAGGAAGGTGGTTTCCAGTGCTGGCAGCCACAGCTGCCCGGGCGGTGACTTGAGCTCCCCACGCGAGCTGTCAGCCACTTGTTAGCTGTGCAGGTTCCCTGACCGTTTGTGCCTTGATTCTTGTAGGACTGGCACAGTCTTGGGACTCGGTCTGGCGAGCCAGTGAAGAAAGCCAAGGCAAGTGCTGCTCTGCTGAGGAAGAAAGCCCAGAAGGAGAGCAGAAAGAACCGAGCAGGGCTTGAGCGAGAAGGCCCACAGGACACTGGGATCAGCTGCAATGCTTCCTCGGAGGTGGCACCAAAGGCAGCGCACTGAGTCAGCGTCCGGTTTTGTGGCACGGCCGTGCTTTCCCTGTGACGGACAGTGCAGCGGAGCTGAGGCACCTGGAAGGGAAGGGCTTGTGCTGCATTCCAAGCAAGGAGGGCTTGCCAGAGGCAGGTCTTCATCTATGGCAAGAGATGGAGAGGCTGTGTTCCTTCAGGCTGCGTCTCTTCAGGGCCAGGGCCGGTCTAGTGTGAGATTGAAGTACGGCTAGCCGGGCCTGGAGGGAGAGGAGCTGACGTAGCCACAGGGTCAGGCTTCTGCTTGTGTCTGCCTGGAGGCTGATTGACTCCTTGCTAAGCAGAAACCCTGGGCGCTGGGGTTTCATTTTGGGCTGTGTTGATAGAAATACAAGCCAGAGCCTTTTGTATTGAATAAAAGCGAAACCAACTTTTTCCACACGGTGCTGCCTCTTTCTGTAGCTGGTCAAAAGGTGCCGTGCTTGGGCTGGCAGTCGCGGGGCCATGAACCGCTCGGCTCTGCCCTGAAATTCTGCTGGTTTTCCCCCGTTTCCTTGTGGGTCTTCCCAACGGGTGGCCTTTCAGCCCCCCTGTAGCTGCTGGCCACAGGCTGTGAGCCTGCCCTTGCTCTCCAAGGACCGCTAGCAAAAGCACGAAGGAGGGGAAGCGGCCCGGGAGGAAGACAGGCGTCCCTGCACTTGGCCCCTGGAGCTTGCCTCTCTTCCTGGTGGCTTTCTCAGCCCTGGGCTGTGCTGAGGGTTGCTGTTTGCCCCGGGAAGCCCAGCTGCACGCGGGCAGCCGTGGCCTGCACGTCAGCCTGGCGTTGGGGCGCGAGGAGTGGAGGTGTGGGTGGGATGGTGTGAAGAGCAGCGCTGGGAGCGGGGAGGAGGAGAGGGCAGCGGGTGGGCGGCAGGGGAATGTGCCTCGGAGCAGAGCTCAGCCTCGAGCTTGGAGGACACTGAGCCGTGCTGCGCTGCTGCAGCTCCAGTGGCTTCAGGCGCGTTACGGCAGCGCCGCGTGTTGTGCCAGGGCGCTGCGAGGGCGCTGTGCTGAGCCATGAGGGGCGACTGCTTTGCCCAGTGTTTTCCTGTCGCTCCTTGGAGTTTCTGCCTTTGAATTCCTGCACGATGATGTGCTGTTTCAACTGCTCCTCGTACCTCTGCATCATCTGCAGACTGTGCTGCCGGGGCCCTGATGGATGGAGGGGTGGGACGTTGCTGGTGCTGGGTAGAGGCCAAGGCACCTTTCTATGAACTGGCTTCTAGCTGAGCTTTTTGCCAGTTCTCGCAGCCCTCTCTGTCTGGCCCTTGGGGCAGTTTTGTGCCCACCTCGTAGCCCTCTTTTTTAGCTGGTATGTCAGTCAGCACAGGTTCACCAGGGGGAGGTCGTGCTTGACCAACCTGGTGGCCTTCTATGATGTTGTCTCTGGCTGGGTGGACGGGGGCAGAGCAGTGCATGTAGTCTACCTTGATTTCAGCAAGGCATCCTTATAACAAAGCTGAGCAAGTGTGGGACAGATGAGTGGACAGTGAGGTGGGTTGAGAACTGGCTGACTGGCAGAGCACAGAGGGTCACTGTTGGTGGTGCAGAGGCCGGTTGGAGGCCTGTAAGCAGCCCTGTTCCTCAGGGGTCGGTGCTGGGTCCGCTCTTGTTCAACATCTTCATCAATGACCTTGATGAGGGGATAATGGCCACCCTCAGCAAGTTTGTGATGATACGAAGTTGGGAGGATTGGCTGACAGCCTGAAGGCTGTGCTGCCATTCAGCAAGACCTGGTCAGGCTGAGAGCTGGGCAGAAAAAAATCAGATGAGGTTTAACAAAAGCACGTGTAGAGTCTTGCATCTGGGGAGGAATAATTGCATGCAGCACTACAGGTTGGGGGATGAGCTGCTGGAGGGGAGCTCTGCGGAGAGGGACCTGGGTGTCCTGGTGGACGACAGGTCGGCCATGAGCCAGCAGTGTGCCCTTGTGGCCAAGAGGGCCAATGGCATCCTGGGGTGCATTGCACAGAGCGTGGCCAGCAGGTCGAGGGAGGTGATCCTCCTCCTCTGCTCTGCCCTGGTGAGGCCTCATCTGGAGCACTGCGTCCAGTTCTGGGCTCCCCAGGACAAAAAAGACAGGGATCTCTTGGAAACAGTCCAGTGGAGGGCCACCAAGATGGTGAAGGGCCTGGAGCATCTCTGCTATGAGGAAAGGCTGAGAGAACTGGGTCTGTTCAGCCTGGAGAAAAGAAGACTGAGAGGGGACCTGATCCAGGTCTATCAGTATCTGAGGTGTGGGGGGCTGAATGGCGAGGATGGACCCTTTTCAGTGGTGAGTGGAGACAGGACAAGGGGAAACGGCCGGAAACTGCAGCATAGGAAGTTCTGCACCAATGTGCGAAGGAACTTCTGTGCAGTGAGGTGAGGAGCACTGGAACAGGCTGCAGGGAGGTGGGGGAGTCTCCTGCTCTGGAGATGTCCAAGACCTGCCTGGATGCCGACCTGTGCGACCTGCTGTAGGGAACTGCTTTGGCAGGGGGTTGGACTCGATGAGCTCTGGAGGTCCCTTCCAACCCCTGCAATTCTGTGAAAACCCCAGAGTTAAGGGGAAAAACAGGGATATCTAGCAGAAAAAGCCATATTTGAGGGGAAAAAAACAGTTTTTAAGGGGAGAAACAGAGATATCTGGCAGAAAAAGCCATATTTAAGTTGAAAACAGGCATTTCTGCGAGAAAACACTGGATTTAAGGGGAAGAACAGGGATATCTGGGAGAAAAAGCTATATTTAAGGGGAAAACCACACATTTAAGAGGAAAAACAGGGATTTCTGGGAGAAAAAGCCGTATTGAAGGGGAAAAACCCCATATTAAAGGAGAAAAACCCCAGATTTGAGGGGAAAAACAGGGATATCTGGCAGAAAAAGCCATATTTAGGGTGAAAAATCTTAGATTTAAGGGGAAAACAGGGATTTCTAGCTGAAAAAACCATATTTAAGGGGAAAACAAACCCAGATTTTAGGAGAGAAACAGGGATTTCTGGTAGAAAACCCCCGATTTAATGGAAAAGCAGGGATTTCTAGCAGTAAAAGCCATATTTGAGGGGCAAACCCCCAGATTTAATCGAAAAACAGGGATTTCTAGCAGAAAATACCATATTTCTAACAGAAAAAGCCACATGTAAGGGTTAATAACCCAGATTTAATAGGAAAAACAGGAATTTCAGGCAGAAAAAGTCGTATTTAAGGGGAAAAAAAACCAGATTGAAGGGTAAAAACCGGGATTTCTGGGAGTAAAAAGCCATATTTCGGGTAAAAACCCCAGATTGAAGGGGAGTTCAAGTGCGGGTGGGTTGGTGTGAAGAGCAGCGCTGGGAGTGGGGCAGGAGGAGAGGGCAGCGGGAGGGCTGCAGGTGAGCGCCTGGGGCCCAGAGCTCAGGCGTGAGCTGGGAGGGCGGCGAGCCGTGCTGCTTCAGCTGCTTCAGCTGCAATGGCTTCGAGCGCGTCATGGGCAGCGGCGCGTGTGGAGCGTCTGGGTGCTGCGAGGGCACCTTGTTGAGCCGGAGACTGAGAGAGGAGAGGAGGGGAGGGGAGGGGAGGGGAGGGGAGGGGAGGGGAGGGGAGGGGAGGGGAGAAGACAGGAGAGGAGGGGAGGGGAGGGGAGGGGAGAGGAGAGGCTGCACGTCAAGAGTGTCTGCCTGCCATTTTGGCTTGGCGCATCGGTGTCTTCCTCCTTCCACGAAGGAGCCTGCACGGTGCACTGGGTGCAGCGTGCTACATGGCACTGCCTTCTGCTGCCTGCCTGCCTGCCTGCCCGCCTGCCTGCTGCACTGCTGGAGAGGAAAGAGCGGATTGTGGGGCTGCGTGCAGGCAAGGAGCTGGCTGCAAAGGAGGGAAACGGAGTATTGAGGAGCGGTTAGTGCGTGTGAGGTTTGCGTGTGGATGCAGCGGGGGCTGAGTCGCCTCCATCAGCTCCTGGGGGCTGGGGCCGAGCCCGGTGCGTGTGGCTGCGCTGCGGGCAGGAGGGCTGCGGGGCTGGGGCAGTGGTGTGGGTGCAGCACATGGGGCCGTGAGAGGGCGTGCAGCAGGGAGGGCGTTGGGCCCGAGCCGCGCTCGTGTTTGTCGCAGCACAGGGGCTGCAGGGGATGCCAGGAGTGCAGAGCAGAGCGGGGAGAGCCGGGCTGTACGAAGGCCAGGGCATGAAATCTTCCCTTGGCAGCTACGTAGCTGCTGGGCTTTTCCCCCAAGTCTTCAGACTGCGGGGTGATAAGGCTCCGCAGCAAAGCCAGCCGGGCCCTCCTGATACTTGGGGGTTAGGAAAGGGCAAAACAAATCAGTGTCTTTCAAGAGCACAAAGCAGTGAAGCACAGCACAAGCCGTTCATTGCCTGCGTAGGTGATCTTCTCCAGGCATGTCCATTGGAGATGTGCAGACTGAGCGTGGACAGAAAGCAAATGGAAGGGAGGGGAGGGGAAGAAAGTAAGAAATGAAAGGAAAGAAAAAGGGAAATGTGAAGGGGAAGAAAGAAAGAGAAAAGGAAAGGAAGAGAAAAGAGAAGCAAGGCAAAGGAAAGCAAAAGGGGGAAAAGGCATAAAAGGAGAAGAAGCCAAGTTGCATGGCGCCGGCGGCACCCGAGGGGAATCCGGCAGCGGCCCCCCCGGCTGCCCCTCCCCCTCCTCCAGGCCCCGGGCCGCCCTCAGCAACGGGACGCCGCAGGCGGTTGGTAGGGCCGGGGCAGGAAGTGCTTCGTGCCGGCGGAGAGCACTTCCGGGGCAGCGCGGCATGGCGGCGCCGGGCCGGTGAGCGGGGCCGGGAGGAGCGGGCTGTGTGCTGGGAACGGGGTCGGGCCTCGGTGCGGGGGCATGGAGGGGCGCTCGGGGGAGGAGCCGGCGGTGCTGCCGGCACGCGGAGGCGATGCGTGCGGCGCCGGCGAGTGGTGCGGGGTCGGGGGGCGGCTTCCTCTCAGGGAAGGCCGTGCGAGAGCGGAGCTGTGTTGGTGTTTGGGGCGTGCGAAGGAGGAGGCCCCGTAGGGCCGAGTTGTCGGCAGCAAAGGCCGGGCGGGCGGGCAGTGGAGCAAGGCGCGTGGGCGCTGTGTTGGCCGGAGGGTGCGGAGCTGGCAGAAGGTCTGTGAAGATGTGCTTCCTGTGGACGTCCGTTGTCGGGACGAGCCGGGGCTGCAGTTGTGTGTGATTGTGTTTGTTGCTCGGGAGAAGTGCTGCCTTAGGAGAGCGGGGGGGAGGGAGAGGGAGATTTTCGGACTGCCATCAGTCAGGAGCACGGCACGTTTCTGCCTGCTTTGCTCGTGCTGTTGTGTGGGTCCCCGCGAGGCATCGGTGAGCCAGGGTGGCGCCGTGTGTGTGTGCCGGCATTGTGCGCGGCTGTGGAATGGAGTGAGAGTGATTGTAATGAAAATGCAGCTGGCCGTATTGATGGTAGGGAATGGTTGAATCCCCAGCCGTGAGGCGCAAGAAGAGGCGCTGGGTGCTAAGGTGGAAAGCGGAGCTGGTGTGTGCCAGGAGGCAGGCGTGGTGAGGTGCGCTGTGGAGCCTGCTGTTGTTGGCGCTGGGCTCGGGAGGCCCCTGAACATGGCGCTGTGTGCTGCGTGTGCCAGCCCCAAGAGATTCCCGTGTGGAAGAAGGGAGAGGATGAAGGAGGCCGAGGGCCCTTTTCTCGGGGCCGGCTCCTCTGTGGCCTCTTGCTTGCCGGAGAGAAGGGCTGCCCGCTGGGCACGGGGAGTGCCTTCTAGCTGCCGTCCCGTGCCCTGTCCTCCAGCCCCCTCCTCATGCTCTGTGGAACGCCATTGCCAGCAGTGCGGCTGCCATTTTAGAACCTTCGCCGCATCACAGCCGTCACCTTGGTCACCGCTGCCCCGGCCAACGCACTCGCCTCTGTGAGCTCTGTCAGCCATGGCTGGAGTGAAGAGGGCGAGGGGCACAATTTGCCCTGTTTTAAATGGGAAGAGGGAGCTTGGCTTCCCAGAGGCGAAGAGGAGGAGGGGGGCCGCCTTGAAGATCAAGCGGAGGAGGGGGCAGCGATTCCGTTTCCATCGCGCCTGGGCCAGCGCTGCGACCACCTCCGTGGAGCCCATGGAGGTGGATCCACCTCTGGATGAGCCCATGGAGGTGGATCCACCTCCGGATGAGCCCATGGAGGTGGATCCGCCTGCGGCACAGCTGGCCTGGCACCACACCACCGTGCCAGGCCCCGCATCGGCGCCGTCCCTCCACGGCCGCTGGTCCAGGCGCTCGGCTCCCTACCCGCTGCGCGGCCCCCGCCCCCAGCATTAGCTGGGTGGCATGAGTTTCCATCAGCTCCTCCTCCGAGCCTCCTGGGGAGCCAAGATCTCCTCTTCCCATTTAAATGCTGCAGGAGTTATGGTTTAGTTGTTGTTGTTGTTGTTGTTGTTGATTTTAGTGTTAGTGTTAGGAGTAGATTATTGTTCGTATTTTAGAGTTAGGCATAGGTTACGTGTAGTCTTTTAGTGTTAGGCATAGGTTCCTGTTCTTATGTTAGAGTTAGGCATAGGTTACTTGTAGTCTTTTAGTGTTAGGCATAGGTTCCTGTTCATACTTGACAGTTAGGGGTCGATTGCTGGTGTCAGGTGGCAGTGAGCAGCGCTCACTCGGTAAGCACACGCCTGATTGCTGGTGCGAAGACATGAGTGCGAGTGCCGTGAGCACGGAGGCGCGATGGCATCTTGGATGGGTTGAATTTCCAGCTTGTGACTTTTGTGTTGCAGACCGTCGAGGAGCAGAGTGTGAGTGGCTGCGCCATTGCGTTGGGCCTCAGGAGAACAGTGTGTGACTGTGTGTGGAGCGTCCTGCGTGGCCGTTGCCAGGTAGGTGTGCCTTCCTTTGCAGTAAGCAGTGCTTAGGCGTGAGCCCAGCTGCTCCCCCTGTGCTCAGCAGGTGGGCTTTCTGCGTGCTTTGTTGCTGTGCTTGGTGCCGTACGGCACAGCAGCAGCAAGGCCGTGAACATGTACGTGCCCAGGTAGATGCAGATGTGCAGCTGATGGTAGGAATACTGTTGTTGGTGGTGTTCATGAGACAGTGGTCGTGCGTGTGCGATCAAGCTCAGGGAGAAGTTGATTCTTGCCTGCTCAGCTCTTGCTGACATGCAAGTTTGGCGTCCCTCCTTGTGGTCGGGTCGGAAGACCAAGGCTATCTTGAGAGCACGTCTGTGAGTCAGGCTGGGAGTTTTTGCTAGCAGGAAGTCGCACTGTCGGAGCGCACGAATGGAATGATGGCTCTCGTTTCCCCCTTGCAGAAAGCAGCCTCCTGGAGAGCAGCAGAGCAGCAGGCTGTCTGCGCTATGGCCGCTGAAGTGCATTTCTCGGCCCCGGAGATCCCTGAGCCCACGCTGATGGAGAACGTGCTGCGCTGCGGCCTCTTCTTTGGAGCCGTTTTGCAGCTTGTGTGCGTGTGGGCCATAACCCTGCCAGTTGCCAAGTGCCCAGAGACAGTAAGTAGCGCTCTGTTTGGTAGAGGTTGATAGAAATGCTGAGGAAATGGGCTGGGAGGGAAGCAGCTGGAGCCGTTGCCTACGGTAGCGCGCCGCGGCATTGCTGAGAGTGCGGCAGTGTGTTGTGCCCTTCCTTGGGCGTGCGTGCTGTTCCTGGTGGCACGCAAGGAGCCTGGAGGTGCAAGCTCACCTGCTGCTGCTGCTGTGCTGTGCGTGCTGCCAGGCAGTGTCCAAGCCGTGTGCAGGCGCTGCCTTGCAGGAGATGGCTTTGGGTTCCAGTTCGTGTGGGACTTTGGGGAGGGAGATAGAGGTGGAGTTTCTGGCGTGCCCTGATGGCAGGAAGGCGGTTTCCAGTGCTGGCAGCCACAGCTGCCCGGGCAGTGACTTGAGCTCCCCAGGCGAGCTGTCAGCCACTTGTTAGCTGTGCAGGTTCCCTGACCGTTTGTGCCTTGATTCTTGTAGGACTGGCACAGTCTTGGGACTCGGTCTGGCGAGCCAGTGAAGAAAGCCAAGGCAAGTGCTGCTCTGCTGAGGAAGAAAGCCCAGAAGGAGAGCAGAAAGAACCGAGCAGGGCTTGAGCGAGAAGGCCCACAGGACACTGGGATCAGCTGCAATGCTTCCTCGGAGGTGGCACCAAAGGCAGCGCACTGAGTCAGCGTCCGGTTTTGTGGCACGGCCGTGCTTTCCCTGTGACGGACAGTGCAGCGGAGCTGAGGCACCTGGAAGGGAAGGGCTTGTGCTGCATTCCAAGCAAGGAGGGCTTGCCAGAGGCAGGTCTTCATCTATGGCAAGAGATGGAGAGGCTGTGTTCCTTCAGGCTGCGTCTCTTCAGGGCCAGGGCCGGTCTAGTGTGAGATTGAAGTACGGCTAGCCGGGCCTGGAGGGAGAGGAGCTGACGTAGCCACAGGGTCAGGCTTCTCCTTGTGTCTGCCTGGAGGCTGATTGACTCCTTGCTAAGCAGAAACCCTGGGCGCTGGGGTTTCATTTTGGGCTGTGTTGATAGAAATACAAGCCAGAGCCTTTTGTACTGAATAAAAGCGAAACCGACTTTTTCCACACGGTGCTGCCTCTTTCTGTAGCTGGTCAAAAGGTGCCGTGCTTGGGCTGGCGATCGCGGGGCCATGAACCGGTCGGCTCTGCCCTGAAATTCTGCTGGTTTTCCCCCGTTTCCTTGTGGGTCTTCCCAACGGGTGGCCTTTCAGCCCCCCTGTAGCTGCTGGCCACAGGCTGTGAGCCTGCCCTTGCTCTCCAAGGACCGCTAGCAAAAGCACGAAGGAGGGGAAGCGGCCCGGGAGGGAGACAGGCGTCCCTGCACTCGGCCCCTGGAGCTTGCCTCTCTTCCTGGTGGCTTTCTCAGCCTTGGGCTGTGCTGAGGGTTGCTGTTTGCCCCGGGAAGCCCAGCTGCACGCGGGCAGCCGTGGCCTGCGCGTCAGCCTGGCGTTGGGGCACGAGGAGTGGAGGTGTGGGTGGGATGGTGTGAAGAGCAGCGCTGGGAGCGGGGAGGAGGAGAGGGCAGCGGGTGGGCAGCAGGGGAATGTGCCTCGGAGCAGAGCTCAGCCTCGAGCTTGGAGGACACTGAGCCGTGCTGCGCTGCTGCAGCTCCAGTGGCTTCAGGCGCGTTACGGCAGCGCCGCGTGTTGTGCCAGGGCGCTGCGAGGGCGCTGTGCTGAGCCATGAGGGGCGACTGCTTTGCCCAGTGTTTTCCTGTCGCTCCTTGGAGTTTCTGCCTTTGAATTCCTGCACGATGATGTGCTGTTTCAACTGCTCCTCGTACCTCTGCATCATCTGCAGACTGTGCTGCCGGGGCCCTGATGGATGGAGGGGTGGGACGTTGCTGGTGCTGGGTAGAGGCCAAGGCACCTTTCTATGAACTGGCTTCTAGCTGAGCTTTTTGCCAGTTCTCGCAGCCCTCTCTGTCTGGCCCTTGGGGCAGTTTTGTGCCCACCTCGTAGCCCTCTTTTTTAGCTGGTATGTCATCAACTTGCCTATGAGGCTGTGGTGAGAGAGAGTGAGGAAAGCCTTCTTGAGGTGGAGAGAAACAGAATTCACGGGTGTTTTCTCTCCAACCAAACTTCCCCGCCCCTCCCCCCCGTGGGAAGCTGTCACATTGGTACCCCGTGGTTTCCCCTTTGCTCTCTGTCACCCTTTTTCTTAATGAGTCCAGGGACGACTTGAGGGGAATGGAGCCTGAAGTCTGGAGGATAGGCAATGTCACTGCGGTCTTCAAAAAGAGCAAGAAGGAAGAGCCAGGCAATTATAGGCCAGCCCGCCTCACCTCTGTCCCTGGAAAGGTGATGGAACAGCTGTGCTGGATGTCCTCTCCAGACAACTGGAAGAAGAGCAGGAGATCAGGAGCAGTCAGCACGGGTTCACCAGGGGGAGGTCGTGCTTGACCAACCTGGTGGCCTTCTATGATGTTGTCTCTGGCTGGGTGGACGGGGGCAGAGCAGTGGATGTAGTCTACCTTGATTTCAGCAAGGCATCCTTATAACAAAGCTGAGCAAGTGTGGGACAGATGAGTGGACAGTGAGGTGGGTTGAGAACTGGCTGACTGGCAGAGCACAGAGGGTCACTGTTGGTGGTGCAGAGGCCGATTGGAGGCCTGTAAGCAGCGCTGTTCCTCAGGGGTCGGTGCTGGGTCCGCTCTTGTTCAACATCTTCATCAGTGACCTTGATGAGGGGATAATGGCCACCCTCAGCAAGTTTGTGATGATACGAAGTTGGGAGGATTGGCTGACAGCCTGAAGGCTGTGCTGCCATTCAGCAAGAGCTGGACAACCTGAGAGCTGGGCAGAGAAAAACCGGATGAGGTTTAACAAAAGCAAGTGTAGAGTCTTGCATCTGGGGAGGAATAAATGCATGCAGCACTACAGGTTGGGGGATGAGCTGCTGGAGGGGAGCTCTGCAGAGAGGGACCTGGGTGTCCTGGTGGACGACAGGTTGGCCATGAGCCAGCAGTGTGCCCTTGTGGCCAAGAGGGCCAATGGCATCCTGGGGTGCATTGCAAAGAGCGTGGCCAGCAGGTCGAGGGAGGTGATCCTCCCCCTCTGCTCTGCTCTGCTGAGGCCTCATCTGGAGCACTGCATCCAGTTCTGGGCTCCCAGGACAAAAAAGACAGGGATCCAGCGGGGGCCACCAAGATGGTGAAGGGCCTGGAGCATCTCTGCTATGAGGAAAGGCTGAGAGAACTGGGTCTGTTCAGCCTGGAGAAAAGAAGACTGAGAGGGGACCTGATCCAGGTCTATCAGTATCTGAGGTGTGGGGGCAGAATGGCGAGGATGGACCCTTTTCAGTGGTGAGTGGAGACAGGACAAGGGGAAACGGCCGGAAACTGCAGCATAGGAAGTTCTGCACCAATGTGCGAAGGAACTTCTGTACAGTGAGGTGAGGAGCACTGGAACAGGCTGCCAGGGAGGTGGTGGAGTCTCCTGCTCTGGAGATGTCCAAGACCTGCCTGGATGCCGACCTGTGTGACCTGCTGTAGGGAACTGCTTTGGCAGGGGTTGGACTCGATGAGCTCTGGAGGTCCCTTCCAACCCCTACAATTCTGTGATTCCTGTGGAGGAGTGAAGCAGGGGCAGCAGAGCCTGCTGTGCACATAGGCATTAAGATACCTCCCATGCCTTGGCTCTTCTGCCCCCACATTGCTTGCAGCACCATTTAGCAATTCCCCCCCTACTAATATTTATAGAAGTTAGCTCAAAAAATCCAGATTGTTTTTGTATATTGTTTTTAATTAAAAGACAACCCTGCAGCCAGTGCTGTGAATCTTTCTCACTGGACTGTGAGCTGCTCCTGGCAGTGAATTCTCTCTCTGCACCATTGGTTGTGTAGCAGTTACTGTTTGCCTCGGTTTCCCTCTGGGGTCTCATTGGAAACACCCTCACACCGTTCCTCTTTGCTTTTGTGCATGGAACACCTGTAATTTACCCTCCTTTGCACAAACTTTATTTCAACCTTTGGGCTGTAATACCCCTGACAACGAAAACACAACTTGCATTTTCAAGTGACGCTGCTGTGTTTTGTGCCAATTTCCAGATCAGGGCTCCTTTGGTCTCTGAGGTAGGACAGGGTGAAGGGGAGCGGCGTGAAGCTGTGTGCATTCCCTGCTGTGGGGGGTTGGTTTGCTTTTTCTTGGCAGGGTGGGCAGGAGCTCGGGGTTAGAGGAGCATCCAGATGGCATCTGTGGGATCAGCAGCTCTGCCACAGGAGGAGGTGAGGCTGCCCGCCGAGCTGCAGGAGAGGAAGGGGAGGAGGTCCCGGCCCAGCTCTAGACGGTGCTCTGCAGCACTGGGCAGCTGCATCCTGGCTCAGCAGTGGGATCACACGAGGAGCAGGGAGGGCGCTGCCAAACACAGCTGGGGCGTCTCTGTGCAGTTTTGCCTTCCCGGGAGGAACCCAGAGCGTCCCGGTTTGTTTCTGCTCCTGTAGCATTTGTACGCAGCGTGAGCATAAGTTCTGCTGCCTTATTCTTCTTCTGGCCTTTGCTATCTTCAGGGGGGCTGTAAGAAGGAAGGGGAAAGAGTCAGAGAGTTTAGATTGGACGTAGGGCAGAAGTCAGTTACAATAAGGGTGGCACTGGAGCAGGGACACTGAGGGACCCTGGGGATCCCTGGAGCCCTGAGCACTGTGTGTCAGGGCCTGGGGATGGATGGGATGGAGGGCGCCATCCCTGCCCCGTACCAGGGGACCATTGCCACCCGCAGAGCTTCCCTCATGCTTTGGACAGCTGTGCAGAGGAGGAGGGTCTCGAGGTGTCCTAGGCATGTGATCAGCTCTGACATCCTCCAGTGATCAATGAAGCCCTCAGCAGAGCCACGCTGTGTGTGTCTGCGTCCCCATGCTCAGCAGGGGCTGTTCGTGTCTGCTCCTGCCTGGCAGAGGCCACCTCTAAGTGCTGGGAGGGGTCCCCAGCTCCATACCCCGCACCCCACGTGCTGCACCCATGGGCCTCTCCAACCCCTCTGTGCTGCCTGCTCCAAAAAGGACAGAGCTCCCCGTGCTGCCAAGCAGCCCCAGTACCCTCCCTCTGCTCTCTCCCACTTCCTCCTTCCAGTTCCTCCCAAACCCTTCACCCTTTCTTCCACCTTCTCTATGGCCTCCTTTTACCCCCTCTCTTATCGCAGCCAATTGCCCCTCACTTGGATCTGCTTCAGCCCTTCAGTCCCACCTCCCCTCCATCACTACCTACCCAACAAGGAATCCCCAGATCCCTCCCTCGGGCTCCTCAGATCTCCTCTCTGATGACCGATGACACCCTCTGCTGATTAGCAAAGCCCTCTGACCTCAGTGAAGATCTCTGATGATCAGTGGAGCCCTCTGACAGCCAACGAAGCCTTCAGACGACCGCTGACACTCCCTGATGGCAAACTGAGCCCCCGATGATCAGCGGGCTGCTGTATCACATGCAGGAAAGGGAAGTGAAGGGTGAGAAAGAATATTTTGACACCATTTGGTAGACAGCGTGGTTTGCTCGTCATAGAATAAAGATTGGTTTGGATTTAATCAAGCACCGAAGTTGCAGAGAAGTGTGACTGCACCAGCCCTGTGTGTGCTGCCCGCTGCCTGGCACCGGCTGCCTGATTCCAAGCCCTCCTCCAAAGGCTCGGCTGCTCCTCAGCGATGCCCACCTGCTCCTCGTGGAGCTGCTGCTGGCCGGGCACTCGGACTGCGCTTGGCTGGGCTGCACTGCAAAGACACTGGGTCCCAATCCAGGCCGGGGACTGCGATGGCTGCTGGGCTCAGGTCAGCATCTTCAGCAGAGCCAGGAGAAATGAGGGCCGGAGGGTGGATCAGCTCCTTATCCCCATCACTGCTGTCCTGTGCAAGGCAGCCATCAGACCTGCAGCGATTCGTGCTTCTGAGAGCTCGGCACTGAAGGAAGCTCTCAGTGCACCACCACTGGGCCTGGGTCGAAACCACTGAGATTCACCTAGGAATGAGCAGAGACACGGGGTGAGTGTCAAGTGTGCAAGCAGGCCACGCCACTGGGCTGATGACCAGCAGCTCGGTAGCACTTGCAGTCCTGTACCCCCAACCACGTCCTTGCCCCAGATCGGGGGGTGGACAGTCCATTCCTGGGCGGCCCACTGTGCAATGCAAAGAGGGAGCCCCCGGCACACAGCCCAACCACCTGTGCAGACGTTCAGGATGCCACCACTGGCTGCCTTGCTCATAACCATCCACACGGCTCGCAGTTCTGCCCGTTGCCTGCTCTGACCATCCCCTCATTGAACCGCATCGTCTCGCTGGAAGGATGCTACGCTGCTGCTCTCCGCTTGCTCTTGCAAGTGCCCTTGCTGGACCCATCTGTGCACCAGGCATCTTCAGGGATCGCATATTTTCCCTCCTGAACGGGACTCTGCTCTGGGGGAGCGACCAGTGCTTCTTTTGTGCATCACTCCCTGAAGCTCTGGAGACAAAAGTCAGCTGAAAGACTAGAACAACACAGAGCAGGAGGGGGAAGTGCGAGTGCTCGCCCAGAGACAGAAAAAAGGTTGATTCAAGTATTACAGGATGACAACATGCATTGCAAATTCCCCAGTGAAGTGAAAATCTGCAGTCAGTGCAGGAAGCCTGAGGTTTCAGCATTCACAACAGAAGCCAGCTAACAGAAGCACTGTGGGAGCTGTACCTGCCTGTGCCCCTTCTCCCACGAAGCCCAACAGCAAACATTTGTGCTCAGCTGCTACTTTAAAACACCACAGTCCCTGTTCCAACAGCCCTCCTGCTGCCTCTTCCATCAGAGCTGTGCCTGCAGAGCCCAGACAAGGCCGGGCTGCTCTGCCTTATCCAGAATAACAAAACCGGGCAACGGCAGGAAGAGAAGAAGTTTGCACCTGCAGCACCCTGCCCGTTTATCTCTTCTGGAGGTCCCTTCCAACCCCTACAGTTCTGTGAAAACCCCAGATTTAAGGGGAAAAACAGGGATATCTAGCAGAAAAAGCCATATTTGAGGGGAAAAACCCTGTTTTTAAGGGGAAAAACAGGGATTTCTAGCAGAAAAAACCACATGTAAGGGGAAATACCCCAGATTTAATAGGAAAAACAGGAATTTCTGGCAGAAAAAGCCATGTTTAAGGGGAAAAAACCCAGATTGAAGGGGAAAAATAGGGATTTCTGGGAGAAAAAGGGGTTTAAGGGGCAAAAACCCCAGATTTCAGGAGAGAAACAGGGATTTCTGGTAGATATCCCCCGATTTAATGGAAAAACAGGGATTTCTGGGAGAAAAAGCCATATTTCAGAGGAAAAACCCCAGATTTAATGAGAAGAACAGGGATTTCTAGCAGAAAAAACCACATGTAAGGGGAAAACCCCCATATTTTAGGGGGAAGAAAGGGATTTCTAGCTGAAAAAAGCCATATTTAAGGGAAAAAAAAAACACATTTTAGGAGAGAAACAGGGATTTCTGTTAGAAAACCCCCAATTTAATGGAAAAACAGGAATATCTGGGAGAAAAAGCCATATTTAAATTGAAAAGAGGGGTTTCTCCGAGAAAACACTGGATTTAAGGGGAAAAACAGGGATATCTGGGAGAAAAAGCTATATTTAAGGGGAAAACCACGGATTTAAGAAGAAAAACAGGAATTTCTGGCAGAAAAAGCCGTATTTAAGGGGAAAAACCCCAGATTTAATAGGAAAAACAGGAATTTCTGGCAGAAAAAGCCATGTTTAAGGGGAAAAAACGCAGATTGAAGGGGAAAAATAGGGATTTCTGGGAGAAAAAGCCATATTTAAGGGGAAAAAATCCCAGATTTTAGGAGAGAAACAGGGATTTCTGGTAGAAAACCCCCGATTTAATGGAAAAACAGGGATTTCTAGCAGAAAAAGCCATGTTTCAGAGGAAAAACCCCAGATTTAATGGGAAAAATAGGGATTTCAAGGAGAAAAAGCCATATTTAATGAGAAAAATTCCAGATTTAATGGAAAATCAGGGATTTCTAGGAAAAAAAAAGCCATTTTTAAGGGGAAACCCCCAGATATAAGAGGAATAACAGGGATTTCTGGGAGAAAAACCCAGATTTACTGGAAAAACAGGGATATCTAGCAGAAAAAGCCATATTTAAGGGGCAAAAACTTGGATTTAATGGGAAAACAGGGATTTGTAGCAGAAAAAGCCATATTTACGGGGAAAACGGAGTCAAATCCAGCTGGCGACCGGTCGTGAGTGGTGTTCCCCAGGGGTCGGTGCTGGGCCTGTCCTCTTCAATATCTTGATTGATGACCTCGATGAGGGCATCGAGTGCACCCTCAGTACATTCGCAGATGACACCAAATGGGCTGGAAGTGTGGATCTGCCTGGGGGTAGCGAGGCCCTACAGAGGGATCTGGGCAGGCTGGAGAGCTGGGCTGAAGCCAATAGGATGAGTTTCAACAAGGCCAAATGCCGGGTCCTGCGCTTCGGCCACAACAACCCCAGGCGACGCTGCAGGCTTGGGGCGGTGTGGCTGGAGGACGGCGTAGAGGAAATGGACCTGGGGGTATTGATTGATGCTCGGCTGAACATGAGCCCACAGTGTGCCCAGGTGGCCAGGAAGGCCAATGGCATCCTGGCTTGCATCAGAAACAGCGTTGCAAGCAGGAGCAGAGAGGTGATTGTTCCCCTGTATTCAGCACTGGTGAGGCCGCACCTCGAGTGCTGTGTCCAGTTTTGGGCCCCTCACTGCAAGAAAGATATTGAGGCCCTGGAACGTGTTCAAAGGAGGGCGACAAAGCTGGTGAGGGGTCTGGAACACAGGGCTGATGAGGAGAGGCTGAAGGAGCTGGGAATGTTCAGCCTGGAGAAGAGGAGGCTCAGGGGAGACCTCATTGCTTTCTATAACTTCCTGAAGGGAGGCTGTAGTGAGCTGGGGGTCGGCCTCTGCTCTCGTGTCATCAGTGATAGCAGCAGGGGGAATGGCTTCAGGCTACGGCAGGGGAGATTCAGGCTGGACATGAGGAAGTGTTACTGCTCAGAAAGGGTGGTCAGGCACTGGAACGGATGCACAGGGAGGTGGTGGAGTCACCGAGCCTGGGGGTGTTCAAGGAAAGGCTGCATGTTGTGTTCAGGGACGTGGTTTAGTGGGAGCTGTTGGGAATGGGTGAACGGTTGGACTGGGTGAACTTGTAGGTCTTTTCCAACCTTGGTGATTCTATGATTCTATGAAAACACCAGATTTAACAGGAAAAACAGGGATTTCTGGGAGAAAAAGCCATGTTTACGGGGAAAAAAACCCAGATTGAAGGGGAAAAACAGGGATTATGGCAGAAAAAGCTGTATTTAACAGGAATAACAGGGATTTCTGGCAGAAAAATCCATATTTAAGGGGAAAAACCCAGATTTAAGGGGAAAGAAACAGGGATTTCTGTTAGAACATGGCGCCGGCGGCACCCGAGGGGAATCCGGCAGCGGCCCCCCCGGCTGCCCCTCCCCCTCCTCCAGGCCCCGGGCCGCCCTCAGCAACGGGACGCCGCAGGCGGTTGGTAGGGCCGGGGCAGGAAGTGCTTCGTGCCGGCGGAGAGCACTTCCGGGGCAGCGCGGCATGGCGGCGCCGGGCCGGTGAGCGGGGCCGGGAGGAGCGGGCTGTGTGCTGGGAACGGGGTCGGGGCTCGGTGCGGGGGCATGGAGGGGCGCTCGGGGGAGGAGCCGGCGGTGCTGCCGGCACGCGGAGGCGATGCGTGCGGCGCCGGCGAGTGGTGCGGGGTCGGGGGGCGGCTTCCTCTCAGGGAAGGCCGTGCGAGAGCGGAGCTGTGTTGGTGTTTGGGGCGTGTGAAGGAGGAGGCCCCGTAGGGCCGAGTTGTCGGCAGCAAAGGCCGGGCGGGCGGGCAGTGGAGCAAGGCGCGTGGGCGCTGTGTTGGCCGGAGGGTGCGGAGCTGGCAGAAGGTCTGTGAAGATGTGCTTCCTGTGGACGTCCGTTGTCGGGACGAGCCGGGGCTGCAGTTGTGTGTGACTGTGTTTGTTGCTCGGGAGAAGTGCTGCCTTAGGAGAGCGGGGGGGAGGGAGAGGGAGATTTTCGGACTGCCATCAGTCAGGAGCACGGCACGTTTCTGCCTGCTTTGCTCGTGCTGTTGTGTGGGTCCCCGCGAGGCATCGGTGAGCCAGGGTGGCGCCGTGTGTGTGTGCCGGCATTGTGCGCGGCTGTGGAATGGAGTGAGAGTGATTGTAATGAAAATGCAGCTGGCCGTATTGATGGTAGGGAATGGTTGAATTCCCAGCCGTGAGGCGCAAGAAGAGGCGCTGGGTGCTAAGGTGGAAAGCGGAGCTGGTGTGTGCCAGGAGGCAGGCGTGGTGAGGTGCGCTGTGGAGCCTGCTGTTGTTGGCGCTGGGCTCGGGAGGCCCCTGAACATGGCGCTGTGTGCTGCGTGTGCCAGCCCCAAGAGATTCCGGTGTGGAAGAAGGGAGAGGATGAAGGAGGCCGAGGGCCCTTTTCTCGGGGCCGGCTCCTCTGTGGCCTCTTGCTTGCCGGAGAGAAGGGCTGCCCGCTGGGCACGGGGAGTGCCTTCTAGCTGCCGTCCCGTGCCCTGTCCTCCAGCCCCCTCCTCATGCTCTGTGGAACGCCATTGCCAGCAGTGCGGCTGCCATTTTAGAACCTTCGCCGCATCACAGCCGTCACCTTGGTCACCGCTGCCCCGGCCAACGCACTCGCCTCTGTGAGCTCTGTCAGCCATGGCTGGAGTGAAGAGGGCGAGGGGCACAATTTGCCCTGTTTTAAATGGGAAGAGGGAGCTTGGCTTCCCAGAAGCGAAGAGGAGGAGGGGGGCCGCCTTGAAGATCAAGCGGAGGAGGGGGCAGCGATTCCGTTTCCATCGCGCCTGGGCCAGCGCTGCGACCACCTCCGTGGAGCCCATGGAGGTGGATCCACCTCTGGATGAGCCCATGGAGGTGGATCCACCTCCGGATGAG